CATGTCCGATAAAAGATTTATACAGATTAAAAATACCTATAGTGTGTAAAAATTAAAAATACAATCTAATCGGACAGTGTCACCATTACCAATGACACCGTCCAGCGTCAGGGGTAAACTTTTAGATAAAATGTGTTTAAAATGATGCCGCTGCTCACGGTCATAACGAAGGCACGACAGTAAAATGTGGGCTATTGTGACTTGAGTGTCACAATGGCTACACATCGGTGGGTCAATACCCGATAAAAGAAAATGATGAGTTAAAAAACTGTGACCAAAGCGTGGCCTTGCCAGGACTACTTCCTCCTTCCGATCCTTACGGAAGCAAGACGGCCAAAGACCAACAGAAGGTTTGATCTGGAAAAGCTTATTATGGCGTTGCTCACGCCAAGTCGACTGCCAACTGGCACGAAACCGCACCTTGAAGACAGGACCGTAGTCCATGTATGGGACAGGCACGGCCGTGATGGCACCAGAGCAGACGGACTTAGCTGTGGTGTCAGCGAGCTCGTTACCGTGAATACCGACATGGCCAGGGATCCAGAAAAACTGGATGGAAATAGAAGATAGCGAAAAGTGGGCCAATCGGTGTTGAATATCGACGAGAACAGGGTGAGAACTAACGTTAGGCGATTCCAGGGCCAGTAGAGAGCTAAGAGAATCAGTGTAAATAGTACAATTACTGTACTGCATTGCTTCTACATGATCCAGGGCAAGAGAAATAGCATATAATTCGGCTATGAGAATTTGAGAATTACTGTCAGTATCATGTGTATTACAGTATTTGATAAGATTAGACTTGAGAATTACTGTCAGTATCATGTGTATTACAGTATTTGATAAGATTAGACTTGAGAATTACTGTCAGTATCATGTGTATTACAGTATTTGATAAGATTAGACTTGAGAATTGTTTCTAAAGAGTTATAAAAAAATGATTCTGTATCACTTTTATATCATTTACCTGTTTTATCTTGATTTCTTCAAGGAAATTAGCCCATTCTCTTTGTCTGACTTCCAGTTATTGTTATTGTACTATAATGTTATACACAGGTTGATTTTTTGTATTAAAATGATATTTTGGCCTCATCACAATGTTATAGGCTATGTTGCTATGTCCGACCATGCTCTATCTGATGCCGATTGGAAGTATTGTCTTCTTTTTGCTGAACATCTTTCGAACCATTTCTCTCTTCCCATTTACATGGATGGTTCGAAATCAGGTGACTCTGTAGGTTCTGCCATGGTTTGTTGTGGCTCGCTAGTTGCTCGTAGGATCCCCTCTACAGATTCTGTGTTCACTTTACAAAATACACAAGGTTATTTTAACTCGTAGAAAAAGATTAACAGCTTTTAAAATGTACATTCTGTTAAAAATTCTTGAACAAAACTTAAAGTTAACTATTTCAAAACTAAAAACAAATCATACAAGCTTTATACTTTTGTAAATCAAATTACTAAGCTAATTAGCCATGTAAGAACTGAATTACAAATACAACTCATTAAAAACTGTAACAACACAGGGTGTTTACAATAACATACTTGTCTGTCACTCTGAGCCACCTGGGAAGCAGTTTGAGCAATTTTTGCCTCAAGTTGTACCAGTTCATTGTCTGAAATGGCAGCAGTCGCAGACTGCACTTCTTTCTCCAGCTTGCGAATTCGGTCTTCTAGGGTGAACACTTTTCTAGCACTTGTACAAACCTGTTGTAAGTGAACCTCATTTAATACACCTTTTATGTCAGGTAAAAGTTAAAGTAAAATTTTGTTTTTCATGATCTCCCTATTATGTTTATGAGAAATTCATAACAATATATACATACTATTAGCTGAAAAAATTCTTGAACAATGACATATGTTAATCTAGATATGTAACAAAGAAGACTCTACGTGTATTTTGTCATCTTTCTATTTTCTTTTTACAAAATTTTTTGTATGTAACATAACTATCTTAGTACCGTTTCTTCCAATGAATTCAAAGTTTCTTCAGGTTCATCTAGCATATGATAATTTACTGGGGGCTCTTTGTCTTTCTTTACAGCAGTAGATTTTTCCTGTGTAATTTTCTCTCTTGTGGATTTCAAAAGGTCGTTAACATAATAGTCACGTTTATATTGTGAACACCTATCATCAGAACTACTGAAACAGTCTGAAGAAGTCACCCCATCATTAAGAGGCTTTTCTTCAACAACCATCTGCTTTTCAAAATCTTGAAACGTCATAGGTCGAGTAGGAATGACTGCTTCTGAAACTTTTCGGTTCATCCTTTTGGACAGGTTTTCTGCAGTGTAAGGATTGTTGGCCAGTGGGACTGCATTCATCCATTTCTTGTGTTCTCTTTCAGCTATTGTACCTATATATTTAATGCAAGTCATTCAAGTAAGTATGTCTTAGTTACATAAAAAAATTAAACGAAAATTATTAGTGCAATTTAAGTACAAATCGGAAATAAAACAAATGTATTTCTTCCATGAGGTATCTCCCATTTTTTTGAAAATAAATTGACAAATGTGAACATGATTCTGAATTTATATTTCAATGCTCACTTGCATTTCAGTTGGTTTGTGTTTTATACTGTCTTCAACTTTTGCTACTATTCAGAGTTTTTTAATAGTATTTTGAATTAATGTGTTTTAAATTGTTCAGTATTTACTTTCCTAAAATTGGAGTAGTATTTAATGTTTGAAGGTTTGTTGGATTTACAAGTATTATGCATAAATTTAAGTGTTTGGTTACAAATTCATTCAATCACAAATGTATGCAAAAAGAAAAAATTCAATAGATTCATGTTTATTTCATAATTTTGTCCAAGACCAGAAAATGTGTCAAGTACAAATAAGCTACAAATAAGCTTGAATACCTGGTCGTGGAGGAGCATGCAAGTCAATACCTGGAAAGAACCCTTTCTCTGAAGCATTCTCAAAATTTTCCACATTTCTATTCTCAGACGTCAATTCATGAGCCTTCCTTGAAGAGTTCTCTTTACACAATTTTGATTCCTGTTTTGATTGTAAAACTATTATTATTTTCTAAATATCTCCATTTATAATACGTGTTTACAAGTTTTATCTTCATAAAGTAGGAAAATAATAATTCAATAGACAATCTGTAAACCATCCAAGTATTTATTCTCATTTGAGAGTCACAGACACTAGAAATCTCCTGTAGTAGTAGTAATTGTGATGTTTAATCACATCTACCAGGTTCAAAGACAGGTGGGTTCGTTTAATAGACAAAAATACAAACACACACACATAATACCTAAATAACCATATAGGTTTTTCACAAATGTTATTATTACATTTGTTTCATTAAAATTAAGTGAAAGTTTCCTCCAAATGTAAAAATAACTATTTTTTGCATGAAATTTGTAATTAAACATGCACAAAGATTTAGTGACAAGTATGTGACATTTTGTTGGGAAATACACAGAATTTAAAATTCATCATTTATAATTCTAATATCTATCCATAAAAAAAACAAAAAACATCAAATACACACGAACATATCAAAATGGCATAATCAATAAAATACAAAGCAGAAACACACTGTAGTATTTTATAAAATTAAAAATACTGAAAATAGTGCCAGTGCTCGAGTCACAGTGTAAAGTACCCCAAAACCATTCTGGCACTTATTTTGGTAGCCAGACTAGCATTCTGGCATTTTCTGGAGCCTTTATGACAATAAATAAAAATATTTTTGCAGCAAACTATGTTCAAATTTGATCACATACATGTGGAAATTCATCAAATAATACTGCCTCTGTGGCAATACCTTGTTCTGGGATGTTGGAAAAACAAACTCATGCTGCCTAAACATAAAACAGAACGAAACAGTAGGTATTTTTGTCGATTTACTGTGAATGTGTGTGTATAAAACATTTTCCATAGACGTGATTAAATTTAAATTTCCCTTTTAGGTTCATTAAACATTGGATATGAAAGTAGCAAATGAATAAACAATCCTATTCTTTTAATCTAACCAATACATACTACTGATGAAGCAAATGGCAAATCATACTGTATGTACATTGGGTTATTATCATTATTATTCACAATCTTGTAGCCACACCTACAGCACAGTATGATCAGTTGATTAATTCTGCAATATTAACAGAAGATAATATATTAAAATGTCTTCCATATAGTAACCATACTAACTTTTGAACTTTTTATAGTTTTAGTTTCTACTTCATTAACTTATTGTATTAATTTTTTGTTTTGTCCATTTTTTTTTTTTTTTGTTTTACACAGTCAGGTTATTTTTCAATGAATTTTTAACTGTTGTTGAAATTAGCATGTTCCGACACTTGTTTAAGACTCCAGCTTTGAATAGTTCAATTACTATTTGAAAAACAAAAGAACTTAAACACATTATGCTTACAATATAAACAAAATTCAAAGTATAGCATTATTAAACACTGCTATAATAATTCTTGCTGCTTTCCAAAGAAAGCATGCCAATAGAGAACTCCAACACAGAACTTTTGTCATGGCATTTTTATTTTTTTGTTACCTTTGTCATGGCATCTTTTTTTTCTTTTTCTGCTACTCTTTCTGGCCACGTTCTCTGGGGAACATGGACTGGATGAACAGAATGATATTTTGGATTTAGGGACAAATCCTGGTTCTGTAGATTGTAGCCAATTCCCCAAGAAATAACAGCCATGCAAAGCATTGAAGGAAATTGTTAGTTCAAAAAGGGGTTAATAAAAGGAAGGGATTATATTTAGCAAGCAAATCTACTTATATATATAAGGCAACAAATTTAGTAGGTAACAATAACACTATTATTGTTAAAGAATAGCAGCTTTCAGATTTAACAGAGAAGCTGTGAGCAAGAATGATTCGGAAGATCTAAAAACTAGTGAATAATACTCGTAACATCATGATCCTAATTATTAATAAGAATTTTTCAGTAAAAGTAATGAAAGTGCAAAATAATATATAAATAACACTACATCTGCTATATACAGTGTCAATAAGACCTTTCACCCAATACCGAGGCCATTCAGACCAATTTGGGATACAACAGATACAGTAGCAGTTGAGATGATATTTATATGAGCAAATTACTTGATAATAACTGTCATGACATAAACTGGACTAAGTTTAAGTGTAATGTTTCATCTATTTTATTAAATGTCACAATACACCAGAATAGGGTAAGGATTATTTAACAATGCATTACTTATTTATTTTAACACTGTTTAGTATTAATTATTATTTTCTTGAATTAACCTGCTCATTATTCAGAAGAACTGACAAACCAACAAGCTAGTTGTCTTGATATTATACACTTCAATGCAAAGAACTTGGTTAAGTTAATCTGATAATGCATTGTTACGTTTCATCATATTTATAATTTTTCTTGTATAGTCAAATGTATTAAGTAGGAAAAGAATGGTTTTTTTCTAGCACTAGAGGTCTTCCTTGCTTTAAAAGAAAAATAAAAGAATGTTTCATTACATCATCTTTACCTCTGTGTTATCATCTTTTTTCTCTTTTTCTGCCACCTTTTCGGGCCATGTTCTCTGAGAAACATGACATGTGGAAGAAGAATTGTTCTGTGGGTAATCAAAGGGAAAAGTTTATTAGCTCATAAAAATGATTAATACAAAAAACAAATAATGTTTGAAAATTTTTATACCATAAACTACATAAGAAACATTGAGCCTTCTGTTATGTCATAACATTATTTTAATCAGTGTTATTGATAGTCAGTTTAAAAAAAAGGGGGGGGGGGATTGCCTCAAGCATGCAATAGGCTAAAACTTGTTGCAAAAAGAAAACAACAACAAAAGAATCCTACTAAATCTTGCTAATTTTACTGCTGAGTAAGAGCAAAATCATTGAATCTTGTACTTTCATTAAGTGACTGTAAAACATGACGAGCTTTAATGTTGACAGTGTAGTACTTGTTACTTTCAAGGTAACAGAAAAAATATCAGAATTTCATAACTACTCCTACAATTTTTTCTCCATCACCCATTAGGTCCATGCGATAAGTTATTAGGTTCTTTGATACAGCTTTCCTGTTGCAAGTTGAAGGCTATATGATAAAAGACAGATCTTTTAAATTCTGTCTTGCATAGTTATAATAATACACAGCCATCTTTGATCTACTGCTAACCTCTCAACAGATTTATAACCCTGAACAACAGTGTGGGATCACTGTGACCCCATACAAGTTAAACCTGTATACTAAACTAACCATGCATGCATTCTAGGTTAAAGAAATTGCCATCAAAACAAAGTGACATAAATGTTCTTCTCGGTGAAAAATCAAAGGTTTAAGTAATAAAATAAAGGCAACAAGCTAAACTTGTCACTAAACAACGGCAAAAGTTTGAGCAATGGGTCTTTATCAAGTTGTAAATACAATAAATGCATTACAACTCTTAACAATTAAAATGTATTCCTTATTTCAAAGACAAAAGCTTAGGTAATGCTATGTTCTAAGATTTTTAAAAATCAGGCATGAATTGAAAAGATTGAACTACACAGGTTTTCTTCTTATAAAATTCTAATTTAAAATATATCCAACTTCTACTATCAATAACAGGTAATAACTTAGTTCCAAAGAAATCTGCAAAAAAATATTCTTTTCCATCAGTTCAATACTGATTAATTAATCAAATGTTAGTTTGAGTCTTTGTCAGAATTTCATTTTATTTCTAGTTCAAAGTCATTGGATCACTTATATTTGAAAAGTTAATCAAGTTTTCAGAGAAAAAGTTAAGCTGATTTTCTGAGAGATACAAAAGAAAAAAAATTGTGTGTGAATACTTTTTGAGTTGAGTAACTTAAAGAACATTTATTATTGCATTAATTTCATTAAGCTTTCTTGAAATGGCATTAAGAGATCTGTCATTTCTAATATATCAAGATTTCTTTCCAATTATTAATAATAAGTTTAGGCCATTAACTTTAATGACTTACATTGTCTCATATGTATATTACACATATATATTTAACAACATTAGTAAAGATGATTCCTACAAAGCCTTAACTATTTTAGTTACTGTATTTAATTGTATTTGACGTATATAAAGGAACTGCAATATGAGCATTCCCCATTTAGCACAGTTAATGCATTCCTGAAAAACACCATGCTAAACAAAAATACATTAAATTGAAATCAATTGCCACTGGGAATACATTCCATACCAAAACTTTCAAACATATTTTACAGTATTAATTAGATACTCAAACATTAAATAAAGAAGTATATTAAACATTAAATAAACCTAAAAATAAGAGTATACCATTATTTTGACCTTAAATTAATGTAACTTAGGCCTACCTGTATAGCTTATGGAGTGATTCATGCATTGTTGATTCTTCAAACTTTATATCAGTTGCTTTATTTCACAGCAGTTTTTGTTTTAAAGTAATGATATCATGCAGTGTTATCACATCACATTAAATAAAGTTGATTTTTTTTTTCACTACGATACACAAGCACAGGCTTCAAGCTAAGATCTCACTCAGCAATGGCCCCAAGAAGAAGGGTTAACCTATCTCTCACTGCCTTAAACCCAGATACATGCTTTTCATCAGAGGAAATGAAAGTTCTGTTAGGCATTTTTTTCCAAAAAAGGCCAGTTTCATTAGCATTGAAGACCTGACATGGTAAATATCCTTCTTCTGCAATAATAGCCTTCAAAGATAAACTGAGCACATCTTATGCAGCTGGATTGGAAAATTGCATTTTCCATTTTAAAACAAAAATAAAATGAAAATAGCTATTTTGACTGGCCATGCTAATCCAAAAAGTTCTCTAATATGAAAACTACTTTAAAACAAAACCGTGCTAAATAGTTACAGAGTTCTCAAACATACACAAGTTATGGTTTATACAATAAAATATGAAAAGTGTTAAACTATATTCAAATTAAGATGTATAAAATAGGTTCTCTGTTTACTTTTTATTTAAGAAGTCATGTTATTCTTAAAATTTATGACCATTTACTACATACCATACTAATTGCACTTAAAATCTATATTAAAACGTGATAAAAACTTTACCTTAACCACTTGCTTCGTAACATTTTCAGATCTGTTGCAACTGAAGTCTGGTTTGTTGATGTCTTCTTTTTTGTTTTCTGTTTCATCAAGATTACCTGCAACATTAAATCATATTTTCATCACAAGCTATGATATTTCCCAAAGTTAATTGCTAAAAATTCTACATTTAATAAACTAACAATCGCAAAAGCTTAATAACAGAATCATTAAAATAATGTGAATTTACAGCTTGTTCATCACAATGATGTTACTTCCTGTGACATAAGAAATTATTCTAGTTCGTTTACAAGAATGGTGCATTGGTATTATCTTTAATATTGCTTCCTTTGATATAGAAGGTTGTTCTAGTTTGCTTACAATGATAAACTATAATCATTTTCAATGTTGCTTCCTTTGACGTGGGATACTATTCTAGTTTGTTAACAACCATGACACAGTAGTCTAATATTTAAAGTTGTTTCCATGAATGCTGAAGTTTGCTTAAAATCATGATGCACTAGTCTTATTTTCAATGTTGCTTCCTTTATCATGGTGACAGTAGTCTCATTTCTAATGCTTCTTTGTTTGATGTAGGAAATTATTCTAGTGTGTTGATAACCATGGTACAGAAGTATCTTTAACACTGTGGAAGATTGCTAAAGTTACTTGAAACTAATGATAAACCAGGGTGCAAAATTAATGTATGCCTAATACTCTTAAAAATGACATCAGGTACATAAAAATGTAAAAGAATGAGTCCTAATTGCACAAAAAATATTTACAGAAATTTTCTACTATAAAAAACAATGCTATAATTTTTGGTTAAAAAAGTGTGAAGTGTTTTCTTCACATAAATCAAGATTTTGTATTTTCATACCATGTGTCTATTTTGTCGTGGTCAAAACCATTGCAAATGCAAGGTTTCTTTTGTTTATATAATCTATAAGTTTATAGATCATTCGCCTAATTTCAACTAAATTGTTAAACAAACCATTGTCCAACATAGATTAAAACCTGTGCTGGGCATAGACTAAAGTTAATGCAATATACAAGTCAGCACCATTTTAAATAATCTACCTCAGCCAATGTCAATTGTTAAAGTCATGGGAGTTATATAGATTGCAAGAGCATTCATATCTTGCTTATTAGGATAAGTAATCAGCAGTTTATGCATGTCACTTTCCAGTTTATGCATGTATGTTTATGACTTGTGCTATATTTAGGCCTAGATCTAAACTGACATTAGTAGCAATACAATAATGCAGGTCCTAACAGCATATCAGAAGGTATATATATAGATCCTTAGTAATATTGATAAAGATTTTAAACCAAATTCAACATGCAAACTATATGATGGACAAAAGTTTATTTTTCACATTGCACTCTGACATGTCAGAGTTTGAATCAGATTGACTTCATCAATTCACAGATATATCTTTAGTACAAGTAATTTAGTAACATATACGAATTCTTCTGTATAACAGACTCATACTTTTTTACTCAAAGCTTGACACATTTTGTGTAGATAAGCATAGTAAATTTGAAATTATAGTCAACATTCCTTCTACATTACAAGGTTGGTGTAATGAATCAACCCCATACACAGTTGGTTAAAGTTGGAGATCTGAACTACATAAAACTTTATGATTAATATCATTGCTAGAGCAGAAGAATGATTTCCCATCAATGTATAGAGTTCTATGGATTTACACAATCCAAGCCCTAGATATAGTCTAGCTCTAAAATAAATCATAATGTATCCACATGCAGCCTTGATTAATATTTACAACACAACTGCTTACATCCAAATCTAGATCTAACTACTTCTAGACTAGCCACTAGGTGTAGGCCATACCCTGTACAGATGTTTGATTTTAACACAAATTACTAAAGTTATTGTTCTTCAAGAACTTCCATCTCATTCTTTAAATTATGCAGCACTATCAAACTATTTCTAAGCCAACTTACTGAAGTTAAGCATTGTTCTAGATGACAGTCTTCCTTGTTTATTAACAGCAACTACTGTGTATTCCCCCTGATCCTCAGGTGTAAGTCTTTGAATTTCAATGAGCCATTCACCATACCCTTCACACTCTGAAAGAAACCAGTTTATTAACTGGATAATAATAATATCTTACAATCTTAAACACTTAGAACTCATCAAAACAATGATGTTTGTAGGACAGACAACAAAATCTTTATGCTTTCCAATATTTAAAAAGTTATTGATACACAAGTCAATACTGACAAACTTTGTCAGTATATTGATAGTTGTGGGCAGATTTATAAAACGGTTGGAACAGCTAAGGTCATAACATCAAATCACTTCATTGTAACCTTAAAGGTGAAATACATGTCTGTGGTTGATTATTCCAAAAATACTTATAAGACCTCAATCACCATTGCAACATTTAAAAAAAGAGTATCTATTTCACAACAGTATCAATATTTTAAAAACTTACCAACAGTCACCTTTCCTCCTACATTCAAGAGCTGATCATTATGATACAATACAAGTCGAGGCTCTGGGTATCCACTTACAGTACAGCGTAGCCTTCCCAAAAATCCTTCAGCCCCTTCTACCACGCGTAATGGCTCAACAAATGAAGGAGGATTCCAAGCTCGGCTAGTCTCTGTAACAGGATAGACATAGTAAGGATATTTTTACTGACTGTCTTCAAATGTTATGAATGTGTTAGATTTATTCCATAACACATAATTATATCTCTTTACTTTTCAACTACAGTAGTAACACATCAGTATCTTAACAATCAATGAGAACAAAGTTAAAACACACGTTGATTCTATGCTTGTTACCAATGCTGGATACCAGTGAAACAACTTAGACTCTCAAGGTCACTATGAAGTTATGTTTTACTATGCTGTCTTGGTAAAACTTAATGAATATGTTTGTAAATGATAGAAAAGTGTTCATTAGAAACTTTTTCTGTGTGTGAGCATCACTACCAAAGTCACTTTGCTGCACACACTACAACAAAAGAAAACACACATGCAAAATTATTACAATAATAAATTAAATAAGTAACAAGTTTCAAGAAGTGTCACTTTTTGTTTTCATTTGATGCAATTCTGCATAAAAAATACTTTAAGAAGTTAGTGCTTGCTAAAGAATTAAATTTTACAATACCTCTATTGCAGTTACTATGGGAACTTAGAAAATAGAACAAGTTTGAATTGCTATATACAAAGGATAACATATCTGCAGGGATCAGATAAAATAATGGAAACAACTTATTATTCTATTTATAATTATGGAATTGGTCCATCACAAACATATAATACAGCATTAACAGAGCATGAAATTGATGAAACAAGGTGTTGTACACTAGACAATGGAATATTTTTCCATTTGTTGACCAAAGCTTCTTCTAATTATTGTAATGATGTTGGTAGTGGAAACATGCTTCAAAAATTGGTTTCAAAAACTGACCAATAAAGGTTCAATAACACTGAAATCTGATGACTGTGGTTGCCAAGTTAGGTGTCTTTCTCAGATTCTTTGAACCAATCTTCAATAATTTCAGTAGTAATTTCAGTTTGTGCATTGTTTTCCATTAGGGAATAAAGTGTTCATCATGCTGAGAATCTGGTTTGTAATAAGGTTTAAATAATCATAGGCTGTCATTTTGCCTTTCAGTGATATTATATCCCCTGAGCTGTTTCAAGAAAAAGTGGTCCACTCCTTCACAGAGCCTTCTTAATGCTTAACTGATAGCACAAAACACTTAAGGTTATAAGCCATTTCTGGTGTTCACCTCACATAAACACATTCATTTGATGAAAAACATAATATAATTCATCTGGTCAAACTACATTCTTCCACTGACTCTTGGTTCAATTTTTATGTTCTTGACACCATTTTACACTCTTTTCTGCATTGTTTTCTTGTTAGTAGAGGTTTTTGAATGACAAACCTACCATGGTAGCCTAACTTGTATCGTCTCCTTGAAAGTGTTTTGACAGAAGTTAGTTAATGTTGGCTAACAATAAGTTCTGTCACACTTTTGAAACTGTTGTCTTTTGTTTTTTTTGTCTCACTACTCATGTTAATGCTCGTGGGCCATGATCTGCCAGCTTAATTTTTTTACCACTATTATGTTTGTCTGATGTATTTTATTTTTTTATATCCATGCTGAAATCATTTTTGACACTGTTCCTCAAGATAAAAACATTATTTTAGATTTTCATATTAATAAAAAAACAATAATACACTACTCATGCACCAACAAATTCAATGATATAGAATAATTTAATGTAGAGTTAAATTACTATATGGCTAAATTTCCCCTCTTAGAGATACCACAACATTTTGTTGGAAAGGTGATATGTTTCCACTTTGTCCAACCCCTTTAAACGTATAAATGAAGAGAAACTTCCATAATAAATTTAGAGGTTTATTATGTGAAACAAAGTCAGAAAATTACAGCAAACCCAACTTGTAAGTGTGCTCCTTAATACATTTTAGGATTCAAATGAAATATGGAACTTTTTTTTTGTGAGTCTTTATTATTTTCAAATCCTTCTTTTTCATATTCTGAGTGGTAGTAGGAGATATGTCCAGCTTCATCAGAATGGTATTTTTGGTCAGAAGACACTCTTTCAGAGTACAGGTGAGATCATTGCTCCAGCCTGGAGATGTGATTTATTAGATAAAGTACTACCATTTTTGTCCATTTCACTGTTTTTCTGATAATGGTGTAGTATGAGAGGTACTGATTTGCACGATCAACACCATTCATGTGGGCATTGCATTGGAGAACACATAAAGGTATTTATATTTCTTCTCCAGTTATTCTATTTTTTTTTTCCTGTGGTAGAAACAGATGAGTCATGGATGGTTGAAACCATTCTCACTTCTCTCTTGTCTTTCCATATGAAAATGAGAACATCACCTTTTCTATGGAAAGCTGTTTCACCTTTTTTCATTGTTGAGACTTCAAGTTTGGTGGCAACCCTTTATTCACTCTGATTGTTCTGCAGACTCTTGTTTTATGTTCTAATAACAGGTTTCCAATGGAAGTACTGTTATAATAATTGTCCTCGTATACGTGGCACCAAAATCCAAGATTGGGAGCAAGAACTTAAAGAATAGTCTCCTCCAGTTTTTTCCCCCTCACCAGTATAAATCTCCATGTTGCAAATATAACCTGTGTCACTCTCACACACCATTCTCACCAGTAGGTCATACTTTACAATTTTTGCAGGGTTGTATGTTCGGAATCTTAGACGTCCTCTCCATGGAATCATGCCCTCATCCAATGACAACTGTTGCTTGGTTTGTATAATGTCCTGAATTTATCGAGGAAATAATCCAGTACTGGTTGAATTTTGAAGAGCCTGCCTGAAGACTCATCCATTTTCTGATTATCATTGAAATTACAAAATGTCCAAATTTGATCAAATCTGTTTCAGCTCATTGTCTGCAAAAATATTGGGCTAATCAAAAGAAGATCTGTTATCTTTCCAGTTATATTTCCTTGTCTGTCCTATTAGTAGAATAAGGCCTAGGAATTTCCTCATGTCTGTAGGTGTAACTTCAAACCATTGAAGTCCTTTAGATGACATTTTATGTTTCTCTGCAGTTTGATTATGGTAGGCACAGATTTCCTGACAAAACATTTCAAACAAGTCATTACCAAACATTAGACTTGTCATGGCAGCAATACTTTCAGGTTCGAATGGAGTTATAGTGTTATATAGTTATAGTTCCTTCAAACATTTCCAAGTTCGGTGGAATATCTATTTATGACCAATTATCATTATGACAATGGGAAATAAATTATTAACAGGAACAGTTGTAGAATCATCATCACTTTCTCATTCAGAATCAGTTGAAAGCACAACAACTTTACGTATTTTTGAAGGTCTAAGAACTTCACTGTAGCTAGATTCAGAATGATTCACAAACACATCCACATCAGGATCTTCACCTTCATCTCACAAATTATCATCAACTAGTTCAGTAATTATCTCATCTTCACTCATCACGTTACATTTTCTGTGAGAAGCCATATATAAAAATATGGGTGGTGTAAGCAAAAATCAGAAAAATAATAACCGCCCGGAACAAAATAAAACTTGTACGACTCCTTCCGAATGCAATGTTTTAATAAATGGCCCAAAAAGATGCTTTGCACAAAACATGAGTAAACTTGTGACCTGTCCGCAGCGCGTTAAATATGCATCTACTATTTCATAATTAGTAGCTAATGTATGGTGTAATTTTACAAGCATACAATGTTAAATTCTGATTGCTATTGTTTTTATATTGGACTAGGGAATTACCATTTGGTTACCCTGTCTTTTCACTCAGTTATAATTTAAAATTTTAATATAAATAGGGGTATTATATAAACTTAAATATGAAGGTGATTTATTTTGAGGTGTAATGTGTTAACATGTAATTTTAAAAGTCTAACAGTGTCACATCCACAAGATGTGGTTATAATCCTAAGGGTTTCTTTAAACTTAAATGTAAAAATTTCATCTTTTTGGTTCATTCATGAGTATAATGATTCTCTAATTAGGTAATATTTTTCATGATATGATTAGTCTTCAAATTCTTACCCTCTTTGAGATTTTCAAAAAATAAATCCGTAATATGTGTCATCCATGACATGGCAGAAAGGTAATAAAGGGATTTTGAAAACGTGAAAAGATTTATGTTAAACAAATGTAATTTAGGTTCAACTTTTTGAATAGGTGTAAAGTATAGGAATTAATACCAAAATATTTTAATTTTAACAGTGCCAGTTGAAGCAGTAAAAAAAAAAAACCTAAAAGTTTCTTGGAAGCTTAAATTAAACATAAAAGTTTTACAAAATTAGAAAACTAATTGTTAAAAAAAGTTTACAATTAAAGAATTTGAGTTGTAGATTTTTTCTTCTTGATTAATGAAATTATAAGATATGATAATAATAATTTGTTTAAAAAAAAGTGTAACACAAAATAAGGAATTCTTATATTTAAAAAACAGTTAAATAAGTGAATCATTTTTAACAAATATCAATGATGTCATCATAAATTCATTCAATTATAAATTAATTGACACAGAAAGGAGAGTATTATCTCAGAGGAATAAGATTTGATCTAAATCTTTTAAAAATTGAAGAACTCAGATTAATCCTTTGACACGTACAAACTTTAATAACATATGTACACATATATCTAGTAGTGGTTTTAATGATTTAAGTGTGTATGATTTTAACTTAAAACCATACTAACTTATTAGAAATGCAGGTATAAAGGAAGTTAAGCAAAAATAAGGATAACATAATCACTAAGCTTGTTAAAGGTAATAAAATTGCAATCTTAAAGAAAATAATAATAATGTCTTTACAATTCTAAATATTACTCAATTTTGGATTCTAGAAAAGATCCAACTAAATCTAGAGAAATAAAGTTTTGTAAGTATTTGTTGAAGTTAAAGAAAATGTTATAAAAGAGCAATTATACAAGGAAATAAAACAAACTGGTTCACATGCTGATATTCGTTATGGATTATCAAAAATACACAAACTAAAATGTCCAATGACAACTATCATATCAAATATTGGATATTATAACTAATTTATCCAAATTTTTAAGTAATGGTTTAAAGGAAAATATATATATATAATGATTACACCTTGAAAGACAGCTTTGAGTTTGTTAATAACACCAAGGAGTTAAATTTTGATAATGTAGTAATTGGTGATTTTTGAGGTAGAATCTCTATCTACTTTTAAGAAGCACATATTCGAAGCATATAAACAATGGATTTCTCTAGTTTGTTAAACTGTCAAAATTTGGGTCAGAAAAGAAGCAAACAGTACTCGAATCTTGATCTCCATGTAGTATAATAATTTTACTATTCATTGAAACATTTCAATACAAATTACCAGTTACAGTTTACTGTTTCTGAAAAAAACTTACCTTTAACTTTCAGTGTGAAATCTGACCAATGTTGACCTTCATTATTAAACACCACACAAGAATAAGTTCCAGAGTCTTTTGTCTCTGAATCATAAATTTCCAAAAGATGTCTCCCTCTCATGAAACATATTTGATACCTATCACCGTTAGTAAGCAGATCACCATCTTTGAACCATGCTACATCCAGTGGCCTTGAGCCATAAACACTACAGAGAAAACGAGCAACTTTTCCTTCATGAATACTGACACTGTCCGGTTCTTCAACAAAACGTGGATTGGAAGTTGGTGGTTTTCTTGAACTTGGAGACTGATAAGCAGGAACAGAAAGCTGCAATTTGGTTGGAAGAGGTGAAACTGTTCTTCGTGGTTTTGGAACAGGGCACTCTAAGGATAAAGGCTGTTTTTGAAAGTCAGAAAGGTTATCTTTATTGCCAGAAACCTGGTTCTTATTGGGAGAAACCTGAAATTGACTTGGAGAAACTTGGTTTTTAATAGGTGAAACCCGATTTTCATTGACTATTCTTTCGGAAGAGTTTTCTTTCCCTATAAGTCCAAACTCAGAAACAATGTTCCTAGCCAGTTGGAGCAGTTCTGGACATGCTTCTATTTTTGGAGACAGACTTTCTTCTTCAGATTCGCTATCACTCTGCAAGTCCGGAGATCCAGCCGAGTTTCTCTCCGTAAGATCTGACAGCTCATCCAAGTCCCTAGAAGAGAAATTCCTTAAATTTTGAAGTCTTAATCAATCTTGTTTTTGCTTTAGGAAAACTAACTACAGTATAAGTTTAATTTAAGGACAATTATTCCACCAACCCAAAATACAGAACCTGACGAACTGAAATACTGTTCAACCAATTCAACAACTTTCTGTCCATTAAAATAAAATATTTATGAACTAATTATTCGAACATCTCCGTTAAGTTTTAGTCATGCAGGTACTACTCAGATGAAGGCCTTGGAGTTTTACCCGCAAAAGCTTTTCAACATATATATATATATATATATAATGAACCATTATAATATCATAATTACTAAATTGTCTCAAGTGTTAAATTTCACAAAATTAAATGCTTAAGACAAATATATGCCTTACTTTAAAAAAGCTTTACATGTATATTTCTTATGGCTGCTTGTTTACTTTAAGATACACTCACCATCTATAATCATGAACCCAAACATATTTTAATCATCAGCATTTTTTCAACCTTCCTAGATCATCCTACATTTAAATTATTTGACTCAAAGATTAAATAAAAGCTAAAAGATACCAAATACAATGCTACAAAACAGTCACATTACCCAAACTTTGTTTTTAAGTAACAAATTTTGAAATAGCAACTATACAACTACTGCTGCTGGATATTTAATAATGTTTCATAATTGTATTGCAATACTGCCTGAAAAATTAGTTACTATTAAAGGTCTTTTTACTAGATAAAGTCCTTGAATTTTTGAATTAAAAATGACAACAACAAAATCATTCTTAAAGAATTGCTGTATTAGATGTTCTGAATTAAAGGTTTAAGGGATTAACCCTATTATGACCCGTGAGAATGTTTCAGGTGACAAGTGCACTCCTATATATCAAATTTCAAAATCTCCATAAATATAATAATTCTATTTTTATTTCTTAATTTTTAGCTGAAAATATTCTAAAATTAATATTCTGTAATTTTTTTAATATTTATTTGGTGTAATTCACAAAAAAATGAAATAAATGTTCAAACTTTCAATTCTGTACACAACACACTTATCAATTTTCTTTTAACTTCTGCTCATCCCAAAGCACATATTTACATTTGCTAAGAAACTATAATGTAATTCTCAAAAGATGGTAAAGGTTTCATTTCTCAGTTGATTTTCCTCCTTTTATTAATACAGCCTCTTGTATCCATCCATTATAATCTTACAGCATTTGATCTGAACTGCTACTAATGAAGTTCAGCTTTGAAAATAGCTACAGGCAAGTTTGAAATCCCATTGTATAGTGCAGATTATAAACTATTTACGTCAATGCAGAGTGAATAAAATGGCATGATAAGCACATTATGGTTTTCAAGGAAAGTGACTACACCTACCACCTGCAAAGAACAATGGATGTTAATGGAAAGTTTAGAAGACTTGTGTTACTTATATTTGTTTGAAATGTGCAGAAATTTTTTTCTATGATAAGACATTTGTAAATTTAGTTAGGTTTAGCAATTATGGTAGGCAATGGCAAAATATCTTTATGACTCAAATCCTTATTTACTGAATAGCATTGTTAAGTTGACCATATTCAAACAATGCACATATAAAAGTTTGTTTGTTTGTTTGTTATGAATTTCGTGCAAAGCTACACGAGGGCCATATGTGCTAGCCATCCCTAATTTAGCAGTGTAAGACTAGAGGGAAGGCAGCTAGTCTTCAACACCCACCACCAATTCTTGGGCTACTCTTTTACCAAGGAATAGTGGGATTGACCATCACATTATAACACCTCCAAGGCTGAAAGGGCAAGAATGTTTCGTGTTACGGGGATTCGAACCCGCGATTCGTAGATTACGAGTCGAGCGCTCTAACCACCTGGCCATCCCGAGCCCACATATAAAAGAACTAATTATTTTTTGAAATAAATTATGTTTATGAGATATAAGTTGATCTCAACCAAAAACACTGTTACCTAGCTTATCCCAATGCTATTTTGAATGGACAAGTTCTTGTCCACTGATAAATATTTGTTAGTTTATATGGTGCTTTTTACATTTTATAATCCAAGGTGGTGACTATTGCAAATGGTGAAATAAAGTATCAAAAGAAATATATTAATAAAAATCAATCAAGTTGAAACTGACTGAGTATATACAATAGAACTTTCTGATCAACCAGAAAAAAAAATTTAAATCCCAGAATGAAAATAATTATTTTTAATATTTTTTTCAAAAAAAGTCTCTTGCAACAAAAATTTAGATATTTCATGACATAAAAACTAAATCAATTTATATGAACTTCCAAGTTAAAACTAGATTCTATTTAGTATGTTTATTCTCAGTTTCATGAAATATAGTAAAGTATTTCAACTGTGCGAAGGAAAAAAGTATCAGTGACATCCTTCTGGTTAAGAAAGTGTTACAGAAACCAACAGGAAACAGCTCATAAATAAGTTAATATAACAAAATATTAGATACATTTTTTTACAAAAAAATGTAGAAATGCACAAAACCTAGGAATTTAAATACATTTTAAATCATTCAACGTGTATTATTACTAAAAATTAATGAAACATTAAAATCTGACATACAGTTTTTCATGGAAACATCACAGTGTATTTCCAATAACTTTGCAAATCACTAAATAACTGATTATTAACAATGTAACATCTTACAATAAACCCACTCCACACACACCACATGTAGATGTTCGCACGTGTGTGTGTGTGTGTGTGTGTGTGTGTGTGTGAGAGAGGGAGATATGTAAACAAAAAAATAAAGAACCTTCAAGTAAATATCCAATTTCTTTCATGGAATTTAAATTAGCATTATGTATGAAGTTAATTATAGGTAAGCTTGAAAGCACTTAAAATTTATGAAAATGTTTTGAAGCTTTCTTGCAATGCTTATACTTTGATACAAACCAGATTACAAAATCATTTTATACAATATTTTACTTACTTACCACAACATATACAAAATGCTCTCATCTACACAAAGAATAAAAGCATGACGAAAAATGAACATCGACAAGAAGCTAAAACGTTTCTAGGAATCTGTTCCAAAGAATATGTGACAATCTTCAGATGCCTCACAGAAATCTTAAACACTGACAATACTTCGATCTTCTTGCACAGACTACATCCTTTAAATACTTATGAAGACTTATCCTTTCAGTCAAAACTGAATAAACTAATATTAAGGAAAGCAGATTTATTATTTTACTGTAATTCATTAGCTTTCTTTCTGGATCTATGTATTAAAAAACCCATTAAAAACCCTAAGAATAATTCTTTACATAAAATGACAGTTATAATGAGTATGACAAATTGCCCAGTCAAAAAAAACAACAACAAACAAATGCAAACAACTTTCTTCTGAATGATATAACTAAACTAGTCAAAACAATAACACAGTCCTAAATAAAAATGAATAGTGTGTTCTAGTTTACCTTGAACCAACTCTTGTTTTTACTGTTTCACTAGGATTAGGGATGAGCATTGAAAGTGGATCATAATACTGGGTGACTCGTCGAAAGCCCAAATTCCCAAATGGCAATTTCTTCTTCTGAAACAACCAGTTATCTTCCCAAGATGTAATATCTGAATACTTTTGACCTGGATCATTATAATCTTCATCATCCTCATAGTCTCCTCCTGCAACAATGTCCACACCAAGCTCAGGAAATGGCACCCTCCTGCAATCAGATAGGTCCCAAGCATATAAGACATCCAGGTCAGGTACATTAGTATCCCTTTCAACCACTGTTTTAGTAATAGGAGATTCTGCCAAGCTATAAACTTCAGTAGTTCTCTCTTCATCTTCCCCAGAGTCTGTGAAAGCCTCTGTAATTTCTTCAACCTGTTCTTCTACCTAGTGATACCAATTATATATTATATTTCTTACTATATATAGGTACAAATTCTATAATCACATATGGACTAGATATTGCCAAAATATCTACAATATTTTAAATAAAATGATTATTTAATTTAAATTCAAAAGACCTCATTATCATGCCATGATCTCTTAAGAAACAAAAATGTCCCAAAAAATATAAAAAAGGTTAATTTCTTTTTAGAAAATAAAAAATGATATTTTCTTCATGAAAAGCAAATGCAGATTGTATCACAGAAATGTATAAATTTTCCAAGTTCTTTTTTCTGTTTTATTTGCTTACCACGTATTCAATGGGTTCTTGCTCTTTTCCTAATCCTCTTGCCCATTCCAAGTCATCCTCACTGTTTTCTTCACTTTCACTCAAACCTTTATCTGTACTGACAGCTTTGCTACTATCAGTGTCAGTAATGGCAGCTTCATTAATATCAGACTGTGTTCCTATATCCACACTGGTTCCATCTGTTAACAAATGTACACAAATTAATAAATAAATAACTGATTGCCTTTATCCATACTTCTGTTAACAAACATTAATAAACTGTAATTCACTGCTTTATGTCTATATTCACATTGGTTTCATACATCAACAAATCAAGTGCTTTATATCTATAATATCCACACTGGTTTCATACATCAACAAATGAAGTGCTTTACTTCTATAATATCCACACTGGTTTCATACATCAACAAATCAAGTGCTTTACTTCTATAATATCCACATTGGTTTCATACATCAACAAATCAAGTGCTTTACTTCTATAATATCCACACTGGTTTCATACATCAACAAATCAAGTGCTTTACTTCTATAATATCCACACTGGTTTTATACATCAACAAATGAAGTGCTTTACATATATAATATCCACATTGGTTTCATACATCAACAAATGAAGCTTATTTAGTCTATACTCATATTGGTTTCATACATCAACAAATCAAGTGCTTTACATCTATAATATCCACACTGGTTTCGTACATTTACAAATGAAGCACTTTATGTCTATATTCACATTGGTTTCATACATCACAAATCAAGTGCTTTAGATTTATAATATCCACACTGGTTTTGTACATCAACAAATGAAGTGCTTTACATCTATAATATCCACGGTACTTTTATATGCCTACAAATATGAACAAACTATAATTAACAAACAAATACCTCTATCTATACTGGTTTCATATTTCAACAAACATGAACAAACTGTCATTAATAAATGAGTGTGTATATATCCACACTTGTTCAACTGTCAGCAAACACAGAAACTATAATTAATAGCTGAGTGCTTACATCTACACTGATTTAATTGGTCAACAAACATGAACAAACTGTAATTAATTGTTAGATTCCTATATTCAAACATTTCCACCTGTCTCTATCCCCATACATTCAGTAGTTCATCCTGTCAAACAAAATTGTTTGTTTGCATTAAGCACAAAACTACATAATGGGCTATCTGTCTTCTGCCCAACATAGGTATCGAAACCCGGTTTCTAGCACTGTAAGTCCGCAGACACACCGCTGTGCCACTGAGGGGCCAAACAAAATTAACTAATTGTATATAATAATTGTGTGTTGATATATAAATTGCTTCTACCTACCAATAAGTTAAACTATAAATAATGGCTGTGTATGTCTATATTTACGCAACTTCTACCTACCAATAAACACATCTTGTTGGTCCTTACATAACAGAAACAAGTTAAAGTTTAATACCAAATATTATATCTATATATTCATACTTGTTTCTCTCACCAATTTTGTTCACCAAATATTGTACCTGATTGGCTTTGCCTACAATTCAATATTCATTCCACCAATTAATGTTTTAATCTGACAAAATATTCATATTTTTGCCACTACATATTATGCTTAACACTCTCTGCAGTTGTATGTTTAACAAAAAATAACCAATAAAAACAGACTGAAAGAAGTATGTAATTATCTTACATATTATGGCTATAAACAACAAAGAAAAAAAATCTTACTGATATTTGCTGATGGCATTTCAGCAACTGGGCTGCAACATTTCTTTTCTACCGTTTGTTGGCCAGAATCTGGAACATCAGTTGAATCCGTCTCTGTTTTGTACTGTTGCTGTTGCTTGGAAACTATCTGCATTTAAAATAAAGGTAAAATTAAAAAAAAACTTTAAAGTTCAATTAAGATAAGTACCATTACTAATGAATCATCCACAAAATTTATAGATTAACTTTAAAACTTTACCAGCAGGCTGTTCATTCAGAGCCTTCCTTAAATAGTCACTAACTGTTGTTTTTCAGAGAATTAGAATTACTCTAACCGTTAAAAGAAAAGGTATGTAACACAAACCTACAAATCTAATGCCGATCATTAGATTAGTCCTAACAGATTATAAGGGAAATAACATGTGCAAAAGTAACTATACAGAAAAACACATACACACACACAGTTTTCTGAAAACTTATTACATCAATAATGTAATAATTTATAACACCAGTGATAGATGGTCTGACTCAGCTTCTGACAAGTCAGAGTGCATGGTGATATTCACATTAAGAATAGAAATACTTTTTTACATAATACAATTTATATAACTTCTTGCCAGAGCCTACAAAATGCATACCTACAGCTTTTTTCAGTATCCCTGTATACTGTATCTGATATTTATTATCCTCTACTATGAACAGTTGATAACTCTGACATCAAATACCCAATGGCACTCTGTAAAAGGTCATGGCATGCACACTTTCATCCCCACCCATGCACATAGGGTTAACTGTTAGCCAACATGGTGAAGACAGCATCATGTTTCTGACCAACTGGCACCTCAGTCAAATGAGACAGGTTTCTGACTAAAGCTATATCTTTATTTTCAAGTGGATTGAGATAAGTGTTCATTTAGGATGGTTTTTGTAGGCACAACTAAAAAGCCTTTCACTCAGAATGTAATCAAACTAAGAATTCAAATGTGTATATATCAAACTCATTCACTGGTTTCTCTGGTATTTCAGTACTATCTTGCCCTTTAATCAATTTGTAGCTTACTCCTATGATTCCATTATAATCACAGCTAAAAGTGTCTTGATGATTGTTCTGATTATTATTAAGTTACAAGAGTTTAACATTGTTGATTACTGGTGTCACAAATTATACATATGGTTTACATACAATTTCTTGATTATTATACAGTTATCATAATTCCAGACACGTTTATACTAACTTTGTTGATTATTGCTGTAGCTATTAGTTCTTCATAGGATGTGAAAAGATCAGAAAAGCCTCCATTTGTAGAAATAGATGCGCTGGAACTCCTTCGGCTTCCAACAATGTTCTCATCCTCATGAACCTTTGTACAAACATTAAGTTTAATTTGCCAGAAACTTCATTATTATTGGCATATGTCACGTACAGTATAATATATTATTTAGTTCCTAATATATTTCTACAACATACGTGGAATACCACTTGTTAATGGAAGAATAACCCTTATAGCAAATAAAAATCTTAAAAAATTAACATAAAACAAAAAAATAGTACAACCTCTAATATTTGGAGAAGGACAAGTATCATTTACAAAGGTATTTCCTGTTTATATTTCACAGTATAAACATGACTTCTTACTAACCAAGAAATAAAACAATCAATTAACATGTAGAAAGAAAAGGCAACATGTTTTAAGCTAAGATCCTCTACTTACAGTATTAAATATTTTGTTTGAACCATAATGTCATGCAAAAATATTTATCACAAGAACATCATTATTTTTTTTTTAAATAATATTACTTATTTATTAAATACTTGTAGAAGGAAGTTTATCCTTTTTATTTTAACCTACACATTTTTAATAATAATAATAATAAACAAAAAATCTGAAAGTACTGTTTCAATGGAAACCTCACTAAACCTTCAAATAATTTCACAATTAAACAGGCTAGATAAACTTTGAGCTGACAATAATGTCTATTTTTATCATATTTTATCACCTATAAAAAACAACTATTTCATTTTAAGACAGGCTACACTAATAACATGGAACTCTGAAGCTTGCCTCAAGCTTTGGCAATTCTGAAGCTTCTTCTGTTATTCGCTGAAATACTTGTTTTAGATTTGCATGAGCACTTGTTGGTGTAATGCCATTTTCAAAAGGTTTTTCTGGGGAGAAATATATACAACTTAAAAATTTTACCATGGAATAAAAATTTTAAATCATATTTTAAGTCACACAACAGATATACAAATACCCACACATTTTTAACACTTCATATGGCTTTACAGTAAGACTACCACCTACTAGTGTATTCAAGAACATCACGTTATGTTTGAGAGTACCATTCCTTTACACAATAGCCTCTAACCTTATTAAGATCCATGTGATTTTTTCCCTTACAGTTTCAGAAACAAAGTTACAAAAATATTCTGTTACAGTTAAAGAAGGACAATTATATCTGATAGATCTCTATTAATATAAACAAAATAATGACCTATATTTCCAGAACTTATCTCTATTAGCTCAATGTTTCTCTATTACAGCTTCGACAGGAGCTGTTGATAACCTACAAGTTCATTAATCCAGCTGAAACTAAACTGGAACACCATCAATAGATACACATCTAAAATGTTCGAGTTATACTGAAAATAATACCAAACCATCTTGAACTTAAATTGTTGAAAACCTGTCCCAACAATTGTAAGTAACAAATATATATATATATGTAAATCAACAAGTGAAATATTAAAATTATAAGACTCAGAAGAGGATATATTATGTGTATGAAATACATCTTCATACTTATATCAAAGTATTCTTATAGATATCTGTATTCTTCTATCGTATTATATCAATACATACACGTTATAATGTCAAAAAACATATTTTAAGTATTATGAAAGTGTATAAAGACTTGGCCAAAATTCAAAACATATAAATATCTTAAGAATACAATCAACATCTCTACACTACAGGCCAACCTTTATATTTTTTTCATTTTAGGTTTATTTTTCTTAATTAAAATGTATTCTTTATTAGAAATAATTAAGAGAAATGTCTAGTAATAAACTCCAGTGTAATTATATCCAAGAGTTTGTAAGGAACGTAGATCAGTTGGTTCATAGTGGAATAATGTATGGTTTGTCTTTTAAGATCAGTAGTTTGAAATATTGGCAACTGTAGTCATAACTTGTCAGGATTTTAAGTAAATTTCTCTTCAGAAATAAACAAGTAATAAATTTACTGTCAACAATAGATTATAATTCTCTGCAAAATCTGAAGCTTAATAATAATGTGTAAATAACTAGTTTGGATCTAAAGCCTTTTGTAATCATATTCCATTGCAGAAAAACATTGATTTATGCTTTGAATTGTTTCTTTCTTCTTTTTCAGATGTGGTAAATTTGAAACAACAAGGATCATATTTAGTAATGATGAATCAAAAACAAAATATCACAGGTAAACACATCTAAAAGCACACAAATTAAAATCTTTCCTTCTGAACTACAAAATGCCAACATTGTAGACTGAGTGTTTTAGTTATTTAACAATTTTACTAGCCAAACTACATCACACCAGCTTTAATGTAATATTTCTTTAAAATAAAATGATCCAACAAGACAATAAAAAATAATACTACATTTATAATATTGACATAAAGAGAGATATATTCATGTTCGTGTATTTTTTAAGGTACTGCACACAAAACAATCGTGTCATGTGTATGTAAGTCTCTGGTAATGAAAACAGTTGAAATAGCTCGGTATTAAGTTTCTTACCTGTAATAAAATAAAATATCTTATAAACATAAGTTGTATTAAACTAGAATAAAGAAACACTTACTTTGTAAAGCCAAGTACAGTGCTTGGGAAAGGCAAGTAACAGCCTCAACTAACTGAGTATGATGATCATTTAAAAGATGGATATCTAAGTTGAATGACAAAAACAAAATTTTAGTTAAATATCCATTTTGATTTTTACAATTAGCAAAATATGCAACAGAGAAGTTTGAGTAACTCTTATCAATTCTATTTCAGAGAGGCCTAAATCTAAGATAACAAACAGGAAACATATGTTTAATAGTTTAAGTTATTAGACACAGTAGCTTGCATTAAGTTGATTCAACATAGCAGGTTTAATCAAACCCTGCCAATACCTTCTACAATGGATTAATAATTTAGCTGTCACTCTCCTATTTCTTTATCTCTTATTGTTAGTGTTAATACATGTTTTTGATCAACAGGACTGCTCAGTTATATGGTTATCAATACAAAAACTTTATTGTCTCATTTAATACAGTGTTAAATTAAATTATGATTTTCCAAGTAAATACTGAAATATTATTTAGTCTTTCCAAAGTTCCACAGCTAATATAATTTCTTGGCTTTCCATAAACAAGTTTCTAAACATTACATTTAGGGTTGAATTATTTAATAAAAAACATGTTTGACCATTTCAGATCACAATGTGTTACTCATAAATGAATATACACACATGCACATACATGTGTGGAATTAGGTTAACAACCATCCAGTCTCAGCCACAAGCTTTTACAACAAGATGTGGTTAATATTCTTAAAATCAGATACATTGTAAAGTGTTACAAAATAAAAAGAAAAAAGAAAAGAAACTGGCCAAAACAGAAAACATATAACTTAGTTTTACCAGTTTGAGGGCTTTTGTTAATCTGCCTTTAAAGCGAGCAAAACAAAAATAAAACCAGGAAAATAAAAACAGGAAACAGTACAATGTTTCTAAATTCAAGCTTTAAAAAACAAACTTCAAATAATTATTAAACATGCAAAACATCTACAGAAGCTTTAGAAAGAGAGCACGACTCATCTGAATTGCAAGATAATGCAAACTTTACACCTAACCGTTTGTTCAACTGCTTCAGAATTACTGATGAAAAATTATCCATAACTAGTTTGGAAAACACTGTTTCCTTGTATCAATCACATTTATTTTGATTAATCAACTTCATGTGAATCATCAAACCCTATGCATGGCTCAAAATTAATGCTAGCAAACTGCTGGTTAGTATTGCAATTTTGTTAGTAAAATATTTCAGAAGGAAGATTCACATTATTACTGTTGTGATATATGCATTTCAATCATGTATTGTGAGAATAAGTGCAGAGGGTTACTATAACTGTGATTAATCAAACTGATTCACTTGCCAGTGTCATGCCAGTTTTGCATCACCCATTTGAGTTGCATGGCTTACCCAGACAAAATTTCAAGAAATGGGAATAGCACACACACACAGATCTGATGGTAGTGAAAAGAGTGTAATTACATTCTCTCTCTCCTACTACTCTCGCAATTCCCCAAACTCAGGTGTAATCGTCTTGATTTACGTGTTTTTACACAATTTTGGTTAGTTTCATTTATCTTTATGCAGGAATCCTTATTGTATAATAACACTTCTACATGTTTGATTTTCCACATGCCATCATCTTTAATTTTCATGTTAGAGCCTTGACTTGCTTGCAGATGACACTCATTCACTAGTAAGGAAAGGTATGAAAATGGATAACTGCATAATGATTGAAGTAAATAGAGAAAAAATGATAGGTTATGTAACACTGTTCATGAGTCACTGATTATAAAAAACTGAAGAAAAAGAAGTAGAAGAGCAGTCAAAATACACAAAGAAATATTCCTTCAAACACTGCTAATAACTTTTTATCATTATTACTGCAAACTATATCTCCTTGATTTTTTCCTTCTCACAGTGAAAATATTAAGCAAATTGTATAAGACTGAAAAAAAATCAAAAATGATATCTAATTTTGGCTTTAGAAAATTCATATAATTTGATATAGTTTTCTTATAATTTTTTAGGTTGGGAAATTTTGAAACTTTTGTTGTGAGATACTGTTCTGAAAAACATTAAAATGCTGACTTTCATTCTAGAATTTATTTTATTTCACATTGATCAAAAAGTTCCATTTTATATATACAATCAGTTTCAATTTGATTGATATTAACATATTTCTTTTTATATTTTACTTTAAGAATTGCAATAGACACAACTTCTGGCTATACACCATAAAAAAACACTGCATCAACTAACAAAGATTTATTGGTGACCTCGGACACAACTTTTCAAAATGGCATCAGGTCAGAGAAGGTAAGACTTTTTTCTAACATCATTCTTGGTCGCAATCAATTTTTATCTAAGATACTTACATTTCCATAAATCACAAGTTCTTTTATTTATAGGTGTTGTTTCAATGTGATAAGCTTATATTCAATAAATAAGGATTTGAGTCATGTTTCAGTTATCAAATACTTTAATCTCACCTATCATACCCTTTGAGCCTAATAAAGCTCACCTGATTGATGTCTTGTCATAAAAAAATTTAATATAATTTAACACAAAATTTCAGCAATGAAGAAAACAGATAACAAAATGATAAAATTGCCCAGATCTATGTCTTGTTCCCAAGTCTTCTAAACTTCCCACTGCATTTCATTTTTTTTCTTTCACATGCTAGGCCTCATTACTTTCCCACAAAATAATAAATTACTTCTCACACCACTTTATTCACTCTACAATGTTGTAAACAATCCAATATTATTTAAACTTCAAAGCAGAGCTTCATTAGTAGTTGTCATTTCACATTCTGTAATGTTATAAAAGAGTGGAAATGAGAGGCTGTAGTAATAAAATAAGAGAAAAAAAATATACATCTGAAAACAAAACCTTGAGAACTACATTTTTAAAGTACGAGAGCTTCTTAACAAATAAAGACCATGCTTTGGGAAAAATAGAATTTCTTTCTTTTTTTTTAAGATCTATAAGTAGGTTATTTACAGATGACACTCTCTGAAGCTGTGCAAAAATGTAAGTTTAAACATTTAATATTTATTTATGAATTACACTAAATAAATGTTACAAATTATTAATTTTTTTGTCAGTAAAATATTGTTGAAATAAAGAGTTTTTATTTCTAATTAAATTTTGAAATCTGGTCTAGAAAGGGTTAATATATGCTATTCACTATAATAGCTTAATAATTTATTTTCTCAATACTTTTGTAAAGGAACTTAAGTCAATCTACTCATAAAATGCAATTAGAGAAAGCTACACTTGAAGAAACCTCGTTAATGCATTAGGTTTGATGTTGTGTTGAACTTTGTACTATTTTTACCCTTTGTTAATTACAAGTTACTTTCTACCTTAAGGGATCATTTGAAATTCTTGTATACTAAACTTAATTACTCATTATTAATCCACTTAGCTGAAATTATTTTCATAAGTTTATTTACAAGTTACTATAAACAATCTAGTCACAACATTTTCTTGCTAGCCAAGTTGTAAAATGAAAAATAAAAAACAACCTGTGTGTGTGTGTGAGTAAGTGATGTAAATACTAGTTGACACAAATGTTGTAGAATTAACAACTGAAAATGTGAAGTTACAAAACTATAGTCTTTGTTAAAAACTTTGTTGTCTTGTACTTCAATTAAAGGTGGCCCAGAAACCACTACAACTTGCAGGAAGAAATTTATCATATCAAGAGTTCTTTACATTAGTACACAATAAAAAGATATAAAATATTTTTAAACTTTCTATAATATGTCTATAGAAGGACAGAATATGAAATCACAAAAAATATAAATATCCTTTTACTTACTGTTTGCAATAACTTACAAAACATACTAGATGATATTCAATAAAAGACTGTCCCAGGCTTTGCAGTCTCAAGGAGTCCACAAGCTCAGTGGTGCCTTTTAGACTGTGGGAATTTGGCTGTTATCCAGCTTACAAACTAAAAGTCAGCTTCATAACACTCAAGGACAGTTTTAGATAACCTACAAACTCGACTGATGCTTTAAAGTTGGAAAAATTGTTTGTCTCTTGCTTAACAATTTTATTTGATTATACCAGGAAAATGGAAAACAAGTCTCTTTAAAATAGATTGTCAAAAATGTTTTTTGATAATTCTTCTATCATTTTTGTTTCTTTTTGAGAGGAAACTTCTATATTACTAGCTCAACAGCAAGACATGGTATTTTACTGTTATCTTTAAATCATTTGTCAGTTTATTTTACTCAGAATGATAGAAATCAGTCCCTGTTTTCTGCAAAATGACATTGTCAAAACAATCAACTTTATGATATAAAAAGTAATTATCAGCTATAATGTTTATCATTTTATAAATAACAAATCTACCCCGAAGAAAATAAACTGATAAATGTCAAGTACAAAGCAAACAAGTTAAAAGTGCAGAACAGAAATGTAGCAGTAAACCAACCACAATAATGGATGAGTAATACAATATTATGTCACTTAAAATGCATGCAATATTTCATAAGATAAATTTAGCTATACTAACACCCCACCAACTTTAGGATTGTATACTTTCCTAACGTTTTTGTATTATTTAACAATTACTTAAAAGAGCAGTGATGTGAACTTAAATTTAATGGTTTTTATTTGATGATTTTCATATTCACACATTGCTGCAGCCACCCAAAAATATGTCATATCAGTTTCCATTTTGTCTTTTATCAATGATTGAGAAATACCAACACCTAGGAAGGAAATCCACCATACTTCTCAGCTGAAAACTAGCAAAGTTAATATACTTCTGTATGATTCATTTGACAGACAGAACTTAGAGAGGAGTGAATATTTGAATTAGATTACAAATGCACAACTCTCTAAAGTATTTACTAACTGAATTTTAATTACTGCATAAACAAAAAGTATTGTATATGAAATCAAAAGTGACAATGACACTGAGAGGAAAATAAACAGTGTCAATAAGTGTATGATTCCAAAAGTGAAGTTTATATCACATACAACTGCACGTCATTAAAATGCACACATTACCATTTACTTAACACTTTGTTTGTTTTACTTTAAAGTTATCATAAAGCCAGGGTTTTATCCAAAATTACTATGATATTTCTAAACATTTGGTTAATAATTCACATACTGTCAAACACCTCAGTGCTTATTGTATTAATAACCCCAAGAACTTGTACTACATTGTGCTCTATTATATTAAAAAATGATAAAGACAATGGGTATAATTTAAACTTAGGTTAGTTTTTAAATGTTCAGTGTTCCTTTCTAACAAAAGTTAACTAAGTTTACATTTGTAATATTAAATATGGTGCTTATTATCATTTCATCTGGAAAGCCAAAGCGTCAGTTAATTTATATATGGTCTTAGAAAATATAGCACAGTAACCAAAAAAAGTTTACAAGAAACTTAATTTGTACAAAGAGTTTAACTTCAGTATCTTGATATCATTCCTCTACCCAGCATCCATACAAGTTATTTTCAAATGCAGACAGACCTATGCCCAACACTTATTATTTGAATAGAATGAAAAACACCAAAACAGGTATTCAAACTTATACATGCAATTCACGTTTGCCAGCTTGAGTCATCAATAACAAATACGTAACAGCAGATATGACAATCAGCAAGTTTGATTATAACTAAATATATTTATGTGATACTAATAATACACAGAAAATCTAATGAATATAAATCATAAAGTAAAAATTAAACAAATGCCAAACTAAATTTTTATACACAAAGCTCAAATGAAAAACAGGTAACATATAAAATACATGCATATTATGCACAAATGCACACCTTCCATTGATACACAAATAATACCTGATTAAATCTTAAAAAGCAGAAGACAAACAACAAAATTTTGTAAAAATCTTATGAAGAATTCAATTCTGAGTGATGAATACTTTTGACAGCTGATTTGAAACTTACAGAGTTGAAAGGATATAGCCCACCACCAAGCACTTTTAAGATCCACAGTCAGTAAAACCACCACCAATGAATTAATTAAGATCCTGCAAGAAACCAGGCAGATATACATGCACGAAATTAACAGAAAAAAAAAGTGGCTAACCATGCCTACCATTCTCTAAACCAAGCAAGAAATTTAAAATGTTCACAATTCAACAAATTTTGAAGAAATCTGTAAAACTATTGCAAAGTTTCTAAATATACAGCTTGAACTACTGCACTTACAGATTATTACTGAAGCCTTAATTACACCCACCCCCCTAGTGAAAACTTTACAGACCTTATAAATACATATGGCACTGTTCATAAAAAATGGACTTTAACACTAATATCTTATTATTAGGAACTTTTTACAGTGTGAAGGATTACGAAAATTCAGAATATCAATTAAATAAACTTCATTACTAATTTTGGTACAATCTATTAGTAATTTATTGTCAAATGATAACAACTAGGTTAATATCACACTTACCTGAGAGGTACAAAACCCTATAATCTGAGAGCTTTCTAAAAATGGACCTTCCATGTTTAGAGGCAAACTAGGAATCCCCAGTTTGCCCCCAAAGAAGAAAGGTTCACCTTTTGAAAGTCCTCAGGTTATAAGGTTTTGTATCTTTGTATTAAACTGATTTCTTGAACCTATGTTTTTTCCTAAAACACTTACCTGAAAGTTATTGTATTGTTCAATACATTAATAAATTTCTTTATTTTTATGGATGACTTTCAGGTTATGCAATTGATTCTTATTTTTGTTCAACTACAACACAAATTATTGAGAATGTTACAATTTTATAGAGATATGAAAGGTAAGATGGTAACACTGTCTTGTATGATACCTTGTTTATCAAAAGTCATAGTTTAGATAAACAGCTCTTAATATAGAACATCACTAAAAGGAAATGTTGAATAGCTTATAATCTTTTTTTGTGTATGTGTATTAGTAGCCTTTTATGTTTAGATTGCTCAGGGTATATATACAGGGTGAGGAAATTTAAAATGTGATATTACCTGAAAGTGACAGTGGCCTTTCCTCAATAATAGTTATTGACATTAGCAAGGAAATTTTTAAAAATATTGTGACTGAATTTTATTTAATTGCTACTTTGCACTATCCCAGAAGTTAATTCTGTAAAACACTAACCATTACTGCAACACAACAAAGAAAGAAATTTCTTTAGTTTTATATCTCCAGTTTAAAAAAGTTTAATTTGTCAGTTTTGTTACTATAATCTCAAGTCTGTCAGAAATTAACAAACTAAACATTATTGTCATATATAGATGTCTTTATATGAATATCTCATCTTTCCAATTTATGACATTTAAAGTTTATTATTTATAAGGCTAAGTTAAACAATGTTTTACTACCCATGGATATTATATATGGGTGGGTGTGTGTGTGTGTGTGTGTAAATTTACACATAATTTCAAAAAGCTTTCTCCAATGTAGTAAATTAAATGAAATTATGAATTTTTACATTTCACTTTTTTTTATCCCAACAATCATAACAATTACCTATGTAAACCTATGAAGAACATACATTTTTTCATAAATATTAAGAAAATAAAACCATAATACATGATTTTAGTTACATGTACAGTACAATTATAAATCATTTTGTTTGTTTCATGCTAAAAAACAAGAGAACGTATCAAAAATGGATTTTCTTATTTACATTGCTTCTTATCTAACCATTTTTTTAAGTGAAGGGTACTTTAGTTCCAGTGGAAATAAAGTATGTAATTCTTCACTTTATGCCATAATTTGAATGTTCTCATTCTACTTCACATTCAAGCCAAAATTTAAAATTACAACAACTTAAGGAGTGTGATATAGAACAATATTTCCTAATGTTGTGCTTATAACCCTAAAACAGTTCATAATCATCAATACAGAACAATATTTCCCATTTTATTTGTTGCACTTATAACCCTAAAACAGTTCATAATCATCAATACCTTTAAGCTATATATTAATTGACATAAGAAGGAAAGATGAGTAACAGATGCAGTTTTTTGGCTCAAACAACATTACAAAATAGTTTCATAGTCATATTAGTATTTCAATATGAAACAAACAAAGCAACTGTTCTACATTTATTAGCATGTCTCGATTTTAACAAATTCATATATCCAATTTATACAATATAAATATTTTTATGGATGTAAAAATTGTTACTTTATATGCTGGTAAAGAAAACACTACACTAAATGTACCAGCTACTTATAAGCCAATGTTTAGCCTCATCAAAGAAATTAAAACTCACAAAGTGGATGGGAATAAGGTTTATCAACAGGTGCAGAATCAAGTGACTCTCCAAGAAAACCTTCTATCACTGTCTCAATATGTTGTCTGACTTCCTCAAGTCCTTTATCAAACAAGTCTTCATCCTTATTTACAAGAGCTGAGTACAAAAAAATCAATATAAACTTATGTAAGCAGAAGTATTTTAAACCATGTGTTTTACTTTGGTATAGAATGGGAAAAAATTACAGTAAATCAACACTACAGTAATGGCACAGAAAAAAAACTATTATCCTAGGCTATTTTGATATGATTCTTGCTTAAAGGTGTCTGTTGCAGGTACAAACATTTGAAACAATTAATGCATATGTGAGAAATAGGGGATTTTAATAACAAAAGAAATACACAAAACCATTACACACCCTTTTAATAACTACCATGAAATCTAATTACTTAACTCCCTGTAAGGTAGTTACTAATCTAATATTGGTTTTGAGAACAAGAATAAGTTTCAAATCTGTGCCATTCATGATATGGTTTTAGTGGCCCTTGGTTCAGGTTTTTACTGTACTTACAAAATAATGTAAGACTACTATTTGTGTCCTAAGAGTTTACTCACCAAAACAACATGTCATCAATCACAAGGTAATCATTTTTTGCACTCTGCACACAGTTTACTTTTCCTAGCTACAACCACACACATATGCATGCAGTCCAATACAAATATTTTGTGATCAATCATGTGGAAATGAGCTACATCTACATCATGACACATTTCATTCAAAGTTCTAAAGTCTGGTCATGTAAAATGACACACTTCAAAAACACAATAGAATGAAAGTTTCATAACCTTTCTTTTACAGCATAGTGCTGTCTCTATTTACATGACGTTTTTCTTTGTTTTCAAACTTAAACAACAAATGTCAAGGATATAAAACCTGAATGAAAATCTTCATTAATAGTAATAGAGATTTCCTACAACAATAAATATTTCTTTACAGTTCTCTTCCTTTTTCTTTTTAAGAAAAACTGCAGTGGGTCCACCTTCCTGACTGTTTACATATCTTAATATGCCTGTACAATAACAGTTCTTAAAGAATGGGTTAAAAATGTTAATTATTAACTGTTCAAAATGCCTTACACATAGAGAATTTTTTCTCTTTGTAAAAAATAAAATTATCTGCTGGGAGTACAAGATATCATAAAAGACTTTTTGGCAAACTTATGTATAACTTAGAATTAAAACTAGCTATGTAATCATGAACTTTTTCATGTATTTAAAAAGACAAAATTGCATTAAAAAAGAACTCAACATTTAAAAGTAATTTATAAAACCATATTCCTACAAAATCACAACTAATACTTACATTTGCTCCATCTTAACAAAATTACAATTTTTTTCTTCTACTCCTAATAGGATGAAATTTCTATTTTTATACTTTTCTTTACTAAGTTTAGTTTTGCAAGATGTCACCATAATTACCCATAATTCTATTATTCAGTTTTTATTCCTATGTAATAAACTTATAACAAACTCCTACAATATCATGTTTCAGAGACAAGCATGTTAGAATACAGAATCCTTCCTGAATAGTGTTCACTGCTTTAATACTTCCCACCCTGGAAACCTTGCAACTGTACATTCAAATGCCAAGAACCTACCAAAAAGTAGATAAACAACTTTAGTACATGTAAAACCAGATACACACACTGTAACTCCAGCAATGCATATAGGGGTAGCCACTATTAACCCATCTAGGTACAAAACATGCATTCTAATGAGCTACTTACAAAAAACACAGCGACAGGTGTAACTGGTAGCAGCTTACCTGCATTTGAGGCAGTCTCTGTATGTTCTGCTGCAGACTTGGTTGAAAACACAGCAAAAAGGGACTTAGAAGGCTTCCCTAACCCATCTGATGAAACCACAGAAGGGCTAGGACCATATCCTGAGTCATTTTCACTATCTGCTGCTGTCCAAACACAATCATCAGTAGAGGTACAGGGTGAGTAGACAATAACATACATAAACATAATATATAATGTACCTTACAACTGAAAAGATATCAATTACCAAGTTTTCTAAGCTTGTTCAGCTGCAGTAGTACTGGTAAAGCATTTACAACATGAAATACATGTTTGTCAAATGATTCTAAAATTAAAACTACAGTCACATTACCATATAAATAAAAAGTGGTTGCTAAGTATAACATAAATGATTTGCATACATACACAAGTAAAAAAAATTTTACTTATGATTTTAATATACTTTGATAATAAATGTAAAATTTAAAAGAAAAAGATAGGGTATCAAAGTTAACTAACATTAGCTATTCAATTTTACTCTGAATATTTGGAATATTTTTGTACTATACAGAAATATTCAATAAAAAATTCTAAATAATATTTATTTTTGATTACATACTACAGCATAATTAATGAAAAATAACAGTCAAGCAGACCTGAACTTGTAAGTTGAGAAACTGAAAAAAAAAAACTAAAAAACTTTAAGGAATTTTTTTATCAATTATTTTACTTGTATACTGTTATTGTTTACAAAAAAAAGCCCAGTTTTGTAAACTTAGCTTGTGTTTTTTCATTACTAAGTTTTCAGAAGAAAATAAAAGGGGACACGTCAGTATTTCTACATCAACTTCTATCAGAACATACCACAAACTCTTATGCACAGTAATATTTAACATTTCCCTATCTTCAAAAATTATCTATTTCTCTGTAGTATAAAAAGAAATGACTAATGTTTCAATTTATATTTTAAAACCTCTCTAACATTTATTGCAAAGCTTCATTTACTACATGTAGTACATTTAGAAAAAACAAAATGGAGGAAGTACTTTAAGACATTTTGTGTAAAGTTATATATGGGCTATCTGTGCTTCATTCCTAATTTTGAACTGACAGATAAAGCAACAGCAACAATTACCATTATTGTGCTACTCAAAATAAATAGTGGGGTTTGACCATCACTCTTACAATGCACCCATCGGCCAGCATGTAAAACATTAAGCCTTATCCTGCCTAGTACTTTTGTTAAAACATATTCTTAAGCACAGGTCAATAACTACCACTAAGGAATGTCAAGATACAAGCTAGACATTGGGAAATTTTGATTAATCGTGCATATTATTAATGTATTAATGAGTTTGTGATATACATTTCATAAAGAATAGAGTGCATCTAAAAATTTAGCAAAAATTATAATAATTATAGCAGGATTACTACACCTTAGAGGAACAAATATTTTTAAACTATTACCTGATAAAATAAAAATGTAAAAACATTTTTCTTCAAATATTAAAGCATAAAATCAATTTCCTACAGTTACCTAAACAATTTCTACAAATAGTAAGTTAAGAGCAAAAAAATATTACTTTTGTACTCATAAAACTTTTGATTTTATCAGGATCTTAATAACTTGTGAGAGCAATGTATCAGCATCTTTTTAAAAATACATGCTAATTACAAATGTACTTATAGATTTATTTTTTCTGGCCATTTTTAACCATTATTCATTATACTCACATTCCTTTTTTGCCGCATATAACGTAGTGAGAACCTTTGCACTTCCAAAATGCTTGAACCTCTGCTTCATGTGATCATAAAACCATTCACACGACTGGGAATACAACACCCTGTAGAGAATATAACACTAGCTTCCATATGTGTACACAAATATATTCCTAAACATCTCAGTTGTATTTAAGAAGAAGAAAAACAAACTGAAAGCTAATAACCTGAATACTTTCAAATTTTTCAGTAAAAGAATGAGTAACTATGATGAGATTATTACATCATTTTTTGAATTATAAATTTTTTTTCTGAATTTCTTCGTCGTAAGAAAAATGACAATCACATACAGACAATGATGATGGCAAAATGTTTTGGTCATGAAAACGTCAATAAGACACTCATCTCACAAATAGTGAAGTTTGAAAAATAATCATCTAAAATCTAAAACTTTAGGAATAAGCAAGTTTTAAGGCTACCTGAAAAACATGACAATAAAACAGATTCGAAGTGAGAGCCTATATGTATAAACAAAAATGACACCCTCTTTTGATATGAAGTATGAATAACTAACAAATAAACAATAATCATTAAATCAGATTTCTCACAGAATACATCAAGAACTTTCATTACACAAACATTTACTTTTTGAAGGTTGGTTTGGTAATGTTTATGATCTATTTTTTTAAACAATATTTAAAAACATTGGAATCTTGTTTTACAAGAACTGGTTCTACAACAAAACACACATATGCACTTTAACTGTAAATCAAAAATCACCAGATATATTGTCTCACTCATTTAGGGATGTATTAGATCAGTCAAATATATAGGCAACAACCTTTTTCCACCTTTCCCAAAACCTTATGTTGAGACAAAGAAATGATGGCAGAACATTTTTCAAAAATAATTTATAAAATAAATCTGGAAAATAATGGAGACTTCTTGCCAAATCAAACATTTTTGAAACACACATACACACTTCTCTATTTCTTTATTTTTTTTACAATCCAACTATAGCTTCATTCTTCAAGACCATAAAAGGATACCTTTTAACTCATTTTTTTACACTTCAGCAATTCAACACCCCCCCCTCAAAAATAAAACAACTCAATATGTCCATTTGTCAAAACAAATCATAAGTGTCATTAAAATAGACAATTTTTTTTTCTCTACAAAAATTAACTTACTGCTGTAGATGCTCAATACCTTCTGCCTTTTCCACTCACCATAAGGAACATGTGCAAGATACGGTTTCCTATATTCCATTATGAATTTCTACTTCACAATAAGAGCCCGCAGGTTCATTTTATGCTTTATGATCTACTTTTCATTTTTCTTTACAGCACTGATATTTAACTAACAGAAAGACTCTATTGCTCATTAGAGTTTTCTATTATCCCCCTAACTATCTATAAAAGATAGATGTACTTATTAAATGTAACAATATATCATTGTTTCTGATCTGTTAACCTATTTTTCAAGCAAAGTATGATTCGTACACTTACCTTTGTTGTTCACATACACGGCATAACCAGACTTTCTCTTGGCTTTCCCAGGAGGCACAGTTACGACATACAAAGAAATGACAATCCCGACAAGGCAGTTTCTTGTTGAACAGGAGGTTAAAGGAAGAACAACACAGGATACAACATTTTTCATTAAATTCTTTACGTTTTGCCAACACACTTCTTTTTGAAGACATTTCATTTAATTCCCCTTCAATTTTACTAAAACCAGAGAAAAGCAAACATCCATTTTACAAATACACAAGTTTTTTTTATTAATGACCACATCAAAACAATACAACTTTTAAAAAAAAGCCAAAACAAACTTTTAAATTTTTTTCTGTCCAGAAGTTTTGCATACATCTACATGAAGCACTCAGCTAACAATTACTTCCCATTTCACAGTCATAAAACTAATCAAACTCCTGTTTTACATAATAGCATATACATCTACATGTACTGTATTCATTTACAAAAATGTTATTTTGCATAAAAAAAAGACGATTTTATAAAATAATACGCCTTTCTACAAAAGCTCAAAATGTATACCTACATCTAGATGTATCATGAGTAAGAATCAATAGCACTCTCACTACCTGGTTTTAATAAAGTGAATCCATAAAACACACAATGACAGAGGCACAGGTAAAGCATGCAGTCTATGTAATGACAACAACTTCCTCCCACACTATTGTTATAGTTTAGAGGCTCATTTACAGCTGCAAGGACGACTGATATAATGACTACAGTAGCACATATGACACGTAAAACTGAGAAGAAAAAAAAAAAAACATATATAGCTTACTATATTCAAAATTTCATTCTAAATAAAATGCAAATGTGAAATATATCCCTTTATGCCTTTTCATCATTTCTACACTGTATAGTTATAGCAGCTTAATTTTTATAATTCCATTGTTATTGATTTATAGCTACTTTTACACTGTACTGGAAATTTACAGGATTCATATTGATGTTTTTAAATGAAGCCCTCAAGCTTCATTCTATGAACACTCATTATCATGTAAAACATATTTTTTCAATCTCTATTATAACTTCAAATTGACACAAACCTATGAAAAAATATTTTACAAGTTTTAAGAATTAAGATCCCACAAAGTAATTATTATGAATCTAGAAGTCATTTTTATGGATTTTTAGCCATGGCATAGCAGCTCATAGAATGGTTCTGAGTTTTTTCAAGTTCAAACTTTTAGCTCATAGCTCCATCTCTTGACTGATTTGAGATCTAAATACAGCCATAGCTATTGAGGATTCCCTCTTCTTGGGTGTAGAATTTGTATGAAAGGGCCTTATTTTTTGCTCAAGTTAGCTCTAGATTAAAACTCTGAAATATGTGGAAAATACTTATTACCCAATAATTTCTATGCAATAATATGAACTAAAGAAACAAATTATGAAGAACAGTTATCCCATCTCAAGAAATAAAAAATTACAAACTTATGAAATTAGACTATCTGAGCTAAAGACGTAATCATTTTTAACTAGTAAAGCTCACACCATTACAAATCCAGATAAAGGCAAAATATCAAAGAATCTCAAAACTCTTTTTATAGTGACCATGCACCAACCAGATTATCCATAAAACTTCATTTAATCAACTATCACACTAACTAATTTAACACAACTGCAATTAATCATGTCCTAAAGGCAATTTGTTAGAACGGGTTCTAGGGTCCCAAATTAGTCTAGTTCATAAATCTACTTCACTTGCTCCACATTCGACGATGAATCAAGTTTACAAACCCATAGTTTAATTCATAATTTTGCAACTCACAAAGCTTGGTTTTGAGGACACAAATGCATAGTTTAATTTCATAGGGTTGATAAAATCACAAAAACTCTATTCAGTTTTCACAAACTTCAATGAAATTCAGAGTTCATGAACTTAACCAACTCTGCTCAGTCCAAAAATTTATATAACTTTACACACACTTCAAAACTTGACAGAATAATTCAAAGTTCATAAATACTCATATCTTGTTTTTGTATTCACGAATTTACAGTTTTGCCTGGATTTAATTCTCTAATTATAATCAAAGCTCACAAGTATAAAAGGCTTAAGTATTGCTAATTATATTTTATCTAACAGGATTCTGTAAAAAATGCCATATTTATCCTTAAACATCATGAGGATACACAAAAAATTGTTTCCAAAAAAATGCTAAAACAAATATTATATTTACAAAAATCTTACTTAAATATTTTTTTTTTACAAACACAGAAAAAATTAACTGTTTAGATATCTCCATGAAGGTCAGGTTTATTCAACCACAAACTAGAGGACTTTATTTCTTAACTAACAAAGAAAGTTAAAAAAATTTTTAGATGACCAATTAGTTTTTCAACAGCTGAACAAGATATGTCATAATAGCTGACCATGTCTCAGCAAAATGAAATCTGTAATAATTTTATAATCACTATATATCAAGGAGATATTTTCTATACTTTCTGATAAAATGTAATAAAAGCAGCAAAAATATATATACATGATATGGTTAAACATATGGTAAACTATTTACTAAATATTTGCACTATATGTCTTGTGAGTTCATCACGTTGTGACTGTAAAATTCAAGAGAAGCATCACGTCAAAGATGATACCATTATTCTTGCCATTACCTCATAAACTAATTCATTCCAGAACAGGCAAGATAATGTCTAGAGAATTTAATAATGGTGAAAGTGACAGTTGGTTTGATTTGAATTTTGCACAAAACTACACGAAGGCTACCTGCACTAACCATCCCTAATTTAGCAGTGATAGACTAGAGGGAAGGCAGCTACTTAACACAACCCACTGCCATCACTTGGGATACTCTTTTACCAATAAATAGTGGGAATGATCATTACATTATAACACCTTCACAACTGAAAGATGACAGTGAAAGTGACAGTTGGTTTGGTTTGAATTTTGCACAAAGCTACATGAGGGCTATCTGCACTAACCATCCCTAATTTAGCAGTGATAGACTAGAGGGAAGGTAGCTATTTAACACAAACCACTGCCAACTCTTGGGATACTCTTTTACCAATAAATAGTGGGAACGACCATCACATTATAACACCTCCACAACTGAAAGGGTGAGTATCTTCAACAACGAGGATTCAAACTTGTTGTTTTCAAAGTTGTTTTTTGTTAAATACCCAATTCCAATTATTATATAGAAATGTATACTTGTTCATTAGGGTGACCCTTATTTTTAAACTTCTGAGTTTTAGTGACCCCCTTACGATTTGTGAGGACCAGTGACAAATTGGACCAGTTTTAGCAGAATACATTCAAAATTAAAATTGCTACTTTGAGGAGTTCAGGTGATGGCTCCAGGAGTGATGCATCGTGGCATGTGGATGGTAAAAGCCATCTACACTTTGAAAGTCTTCATATTTCTATTTTCCTATGGTTCTATAGTAAATTTCTTTGTAATCATTTTGTTTTTACTCAAATGTTTAAGAGATATGTGCATCATGTATGCAGCTTTTGTTTGTTTGGTTAGTTCATTGTATGTGCAATGCATACTTTACAGCACAGCATCACAAATGGACAGCAGCAACCCCCTAAAATCCCTTGCTTCCTTAAAATTTTTTATCTACTTTAGTTTGTAGAAAAACCTCATAAAAATATGTGGCACCCCAATAAAAATTATTATTTTAAATTTTTACCTCCTGGATAAAGGCCACCCTAGTGTTCATATCCTCAGAAAATACACTGTTCAAAATAATTAGAGGATAGCAAAACTATATTCTAGCTACAACAAAGCAATTACTGTTATTACATAATATCAACATCCCCACATTAAATTTTATGCCAAACAAGTTACATTTTATCACTAATGCAAATGTTTACTATTGGAGTTCATGAAATAAATGCTTTTGTGATGCAACAGACTTTGCAAGCCGAATAAATGACAAGAAAATCTTTGTTAATTAACAAAGGCATATGACCACTACAAACACTTATGCATATTATACATTTATGTGGTAAGTTTCAAATAAATGAATGAAAGAGCTTCTGGGTTAATATAGCTTCTAGCTTGAAGGTGTGTCATGTTTCCAAGCACCTTCCTACAGCATTTCATATATGTTCAATGAGATTCAAGTCTGGTCCATTCCCACAACACCCTCTTCTTCTAAACAGCTGAGCAAAGTGAGGGTGCACATTATCATTTATTAAAATAAACTTCTAACCAACTGCAACTGCATATGGCAATACTGATCATTATAGGACTGTATCCTTATACTATAAGGCACACATAGTGCTGTGTTCTAACACACAAAAGTCAGTGTGGTTATAGTTACTGATCCCTGCTAAACTGAGTATACCACCACCATCATACACATGCCTTTCCTACATGATATTGGATTGAATGTGATCCTGGACACCCTCCAAATTTGTACATATTTCATATCTGGCTGCAATGTGAATGTCTAAGAGCAAGACATTTGTCCTCTTGTTAAAGCAATCCATATGCTCTTGACACTATTGAAGATAGGCTGTTTTTTGTCAATGTGAATAAGAAATCACTCCAATGGCTATAAAGTATAAAACCTTATGAAACCTGTTTGTAACCTTTTGATGCTGACTTGTCATTCAGTTGCTACTCTGAAATTTGATTCAGCTAGAGATAAACTCTCCAGTTTTTTCAAACTGGTAGTATGAAATAGCAATTGTCTGGCAAGGTTTTTGACAATGGTTTGCTTTATTCAGGCTTCTAGTCAACTGTGATGGTGGTCTGAAAGCAAGTAAGCATTTTACTAATCACACTTCATGAGAATTGTGATAATTCTACAATAAATTTCTAGCCAACCTACTGGCCTCAACATCATGGAAACATTCCAAAGTTTTGCTGGTGTCTTGGCACGTTGCTCAAACTGTTAACTGAAAACATGTTTCCTTCACTTTTGTATGCAACTAAAATATGCATATCGGATCACATGACAGGACAACTGATAATGTTTTGCATAAACATTAGATCAGATATCTCATTGACATTAATAACATTAAAAACATGGATTATCCTTTGAGCATTACTGTAGTAACTCTAATGGTACACTGATAAGAATTACATGTAGTTTTGTGTCTCGACCAAATTAACATAGTATTGTACCTAATGAAATCTTAACTTCACATTTTTGTTTTCAGTTTATTGTTATAACAAGTTCTATAGTAGAGCAAGAGAATTATTTGGTGAAAATAATATGAATCCGGTCCATGTAACAATGTTGAATTTATTTATTTCTTCAATAATGTTCATTTTCATGCAAGTTATAAACCTAAGTTCACAAACAAACTTTTTCCAACATAAACTCTGAAGCTACTATAGGCTTAAAACACTAATAACATTTAATAGAAAGTTCCTTGATTGATAACAAATGCTGACTGACTTACAGTTATCCCTTACCATTCGTGGGCAATTGGTTCTAGAAATTGCTGCAAATGCTAAAACCACAAATACTATTAGTATTAGAGGAATCAAGGGCAGTGGGAGCAGAGAAAGCAGGCAGAAGACTCGGAGAGGTTATATGGGAGGGTCTACACAGAAACACCATGGTTGAACATGGTTTGGGGGTGGACTGCAGCTATACCGCAAATATTCGAAACCCTGAATGACATGGTATAACTGTATCTTACAGAAACACAAACTCTTACTGAATAGCTTTACTAAATCAATCTTGATATTTACACACCAAATACTTGACTAACTTCTTATCTAACACTTCACTGATTACTTGTATTTATACTGATGTATCCTTGTATGTATATCAATCAAAGTTATTAGATTCTTGACATAATCATCATCTTGAACGTTCTACAGAGTCCAGAACTACTTTTATGGACTTGCTTGATCTTAACATCATGTACCTTCTAGCTTGTATCTAAATTAAAACATTGAAAGTATTGCTTACAAAATTCAACTTAAATATCTTAGGGGGTCTACATATGTATCTGAAGTTGGAAAGTGTAAATAAATATTTTAAGATATTTTAAAAAACAACAAGGGTTTAATGAACAAAATTCTAATTCAACCCATCACTTCACAAAACAAATCAAATACTCTCTACAGAGTAAAGTAAAAGGAAAATATGTGACATAAAATACTAGAAAACAATCACACCAATATAGTCATGAGTCTTAATGACAAAACAAACAAACAAACTCACAGTCAAAACTTAAACAGTGCTTGTAGGTACAAGTGCAAAATATACATACGTTAGCCTTTCTTGTTCCCGACGCCGAAGCTGAAAATCTCTCTGAATAACATTTATAATCCTTTCACATTCTCTGTCACTCAAGTGGGAAAAATTAAATTTGCGCCCCATTGTTTCTTAAGACTGTTAAAAACACCAAACTCAACGAAAGATTTCTTAGGTTTTGTCATAAGTGATTAAATTCCAAGGTCTTGAACCACAATGTTTTGATACAGCTAACCTGTAAAAAAAAAGAAATGAACACAGTGAGTAAACTTGATCTCTTGTTTCCTTACTTCATTTGTGAATGAACAGTTCTTTCTGCAGTATAAAAATGTGTATATGTAAACAAGTGTGTGTGTGTATCTATCTCTCTCTCTCTCTCTCTCTATATAAGAATGTCAAACTGCTAATAAAAACAGTTTACTCCATACTATAGTTACACACAATATGGTTACACACACACACACACACTGAATGACTGAAACTACTAAAAATAAACTGCGTATGATATTGATGTATAATGATAACAAACATCAAAACTATGCAATTTAGTAACACTCAAAATGTATAAACAACTTATAATTGGTTCCTAATAATTTTACACATTAACCAGAGGTTGTCTCCTTGAGATAAAGAGTGCAAGAAGTAAGAAAATTAAGTAAATAATTGAAGTTAGTTAGATTTTGTTTTCTTTTTTTTTTTTGCCTAATTTACATATGCACATAAGAATGTCTCATTTTACTTGGATGCAAATACAAAATGTGACAAAAAATGTAAGATTGATTACATTAAGATCTTACTCCTGCTACATTTTCATTTTTTTCAGAAAGTGTATCATGGACTTTTGACATACTTTCTATTAGAAGAACCAAACATTTTCTACATATACATGTATGTAAATCTACAATAAAATTAAACCAATATTATTATACTGTTTGTTACAAATTCTTTATTAGAACATATTGAGAGATGGAGTTTACAGTGTAAATAAATGTCATGATACACTTTTACTGAAACCCTGTCCTTAATATGTTCAGTTTTTGATTATTCCAACCATTCAAGTTAATGTGCCCAAAGATTAATCAATTAACAAATTCTACTAATCACCCATCTCTATAACACAATAATAAAAAATGTGTGCATCTTTGACAATCACAGGTTTTTGTTTGTCAATGCATGAATGAAAAGACAACTTACGATTAAATATTTCAATGTAAATTGACATTAGAAAAATTAAATTAATAAATGAATAACCAAACTACTTAGTTTCTTATATATCAACTTCAGGTGAAACAATTGATCAATCATGTGAGATTAAGATCCAAAAACTGTTTGGAAGACATTTTCCCCTCATGCTAAAGACCTGAAGAATTATTCTGCTTATAATTATGGTAAATACACTTTGTTTTACTGATTTAAAGCTTTAGAACCAATAAGCCAGTAAATTCAATAAGTGTAGAAAAGCAATGCTACAGTTTATTCAAAGATGTTTTTTCCTACCATCTCTATTAAAAATCATTTCAAACATCAAATTACAGGACTTATTTATCAGTACAATTTTGCCACAAAATACCCAGTTCATGGATATCCCATATAAGTAGTTTTTGACATTAAGAACCACAACGAACACAAATCTATTTCCATTTCTACAAGCTTTTGTCTGTTTTGATGGAGGAAAAATATGATCATATACTAATATCCTACATGTAGGTTATCCAAAACATCTACTTAGATTACAAGTATGTACTGACCAATTTGTCTAGATTATCACTACATACTGGTTAATTATCATTAACAAGTGTCTGAATCACACAAACAATTGTTTAAAGAATTTCCAAATACCCCGTATATTGCTAATGAGCCAGCAGCATATTACTTGGATCGTCTTTTGTGTTTTACATGTTGCCCAATCAAAGCATGCAGGCTTATTCATCATCATACTGTGATAACCTTGAACATTGTCATTTTCCATAAAAAGAAAGAAAGCTGAATTAAATAAAGTTTGTGATGACACTAATAATTATTCCAAATGGTCTTTTTCCCAATCAAGCCTAACTACATACGTATACAGGCTTTGATTAGCTAGAAGATGAAAGAGAAAACTATTGACATCTTATGTTGATTTACATGCCAATAACCTTTTACAACCTTTCTTGAGAAACATCAGACCAAAACAAAATATAAAATAAGGTATAATTCACTGTCATAAATTCTCAAGTTAACATTTTCCTTACTTGAATATGTATCTCTGATAGATAATCACCTCTGCACATAACATAGTTTCCTTTCGAGTTTGCACATTTTATTAAAGAGATCTGCAAGCCACAAGCTTTGTGAAAACTCCCACCTAATCTCATGAAATCACAGAAATTTGTGCTACAGCATGATGATGTCATCATGCAGCAGAATTATCCACCAATAGAAATGCATCACACTTTCATGTTCAATGACTCCTTCAACATTCATGCTCATAAATCTTCATACTTAGAAAAGACAACAAAGAAATGTGCACTGGAAAGTGGGGAGGATGGTCAGGAATGTGTGAAGAGGTGGGTATCTGTTGCAAATACACTTTCAGGTAAGAAAAATGTTAACTTCCAAAACAAATACTCCCCTCTTCACATAGAATAGCTAGAATCCTACATTGACATAATGGAGGGACAAGTGCAGACATTACCTAGATAAGCTCCTTTTTGAAAGCATCTGAAGGAAGCCCATGGGGTGTGAAATCTGATGGCAGGGGCTCCTTAGGAGCACACTTATGGGAGAATGCATCTCATGTCATCCAAGGTATAAAATGCACCCATGTATGAGAAAAGAAGAGGCAAACAAGCCATAAATGTGTCGCAGAAATAGGCCATCCAAGTACTTGCATACAAGGTGTCGTAGAGCCACTACATTAGTAAGGTTGGGTCTTGTTCAGACCATACCTTCTGTACCCACTTTCTCTACCATCGGACTCGATGGACCAAATCTAGCTGTTAGAGAAGAGCACTTGTGATAAGTGTCCATGCTCACCTCCTCTACTGTCACTCTCTACAGGCCCTATGCCAGCTGTGGGAGAAGGATAACATATAATATACATTTCAACTTGTCTGTCAGTCTCCATTGGCCAAATGCTTTCTGTTTTCTTGGTTTGATGCAGATTTTGGGAGGCAATACTAGCCACCTAGTGAAATCCTACTGAATGAAAGAGGGATCCTGAAAAGGAAATGGTGCACATTTTACTCAAATATAGTGAGGTGATATAAGAATGGTGACCTGTGGAAGCCAAAAACAATTAGGAAGTAAAACAGTCAGAAGGTATAGAGATGGAAATGGATGTGTAAAGGGAGTACACATGTTTGTCTGGAAAAGATCGTCCAAGGGCCAGTAAAGAAAAGGTAAAAGAGAAGAAAAAGTGACAGACAGAATGTGAACATAAACATCCTGAGATGAACATATCAACAGAGAAGTCAATGAGCCCATCCTGGAAAGGAAGAATGAACAAGGTTCATGAAAAATAGGGATCTCAGGAGAGGGACAACAGAAGATGGGGACCCTTACAGTAAAAGGTCCATGATAAGGTATACAGAACTGTCCAACAGGACACAGAAACTGAGCTGGGTCCAAACACTCTAATTGTACAAAGATGGAAGGAAGGTTGATCAGAGATAAGTACAGTTTACCCTCAAGCAGTCAAAGCCTGAGAAAGATAGGATAGATCCAAGGAAAGGAAAGAAGAAGTGTGGTGGAAGAGGGTGTGAGAAGCATCTAGAGGATAGTCATTGGAACAATTGTTATTGTGAGAAATAAGTAGGAGGAAACAAATCAGCAGAGAAAGATGGTAAAATGGGGCATGCACAAGATTGAGCAAAATCCCAACAAAGTCTCAGTCAGACAAGGGAGCAGGGCGAGGAGGACAGAGGAGAGTGAAGGAGTGGAACAGAATGAACAGAACAGTCTTGGTACATGGAAAAGGATAAAAGCCATGGACATGGCCACCCAACAACCAAGAAGGGCAGGGTCTGAGAATCCTTCAATGAACAGGCTGGTAAGAAAGGAAGAAAGGTGATGCACAGAATTACTATCTGAAAGAAATGAGTGGAGGAAGGACAAATACCAAAAGACCAACCACCGATGGCAATAGACAAATACAAAGAAAGGATGAGAAGAATATAACAATGATAAAGCCACATTAGTAAATAGTCTGGTCTGATGGGCAACTGTGCATGAGAGTGGATGGAAGATAACCCTCAATGAAGAAGGTGTGAGAGTGCAAACCAAGAGGAGGAGTCCAATGAACAATTACATCAAGGCCAAGATGCTTAATAAGGCATCAACAAAAGGGCCCAAGAAAAATAGTATTGTGTGAACCCAAGGTCCAGAAAGATGAGGCATATAGGGGAGTAGGTACAGGGAAAGAGGTAAGACCAGGCTTAATTGAGAAAAATGAGAACCAGAGTCAAAGGAAGAGAAATAGAGGACTGTGAAAGAGGAAGCCCAGAGTAGAGAAGAGTGGAAAGTGTCTAACTAGGACAATTAGGGATGCAGAAGCTATTCCATTGACAAAATAAGGACTGGCCAAGAGAGGTAACTCACCAACAAGAAAGAAGCTGTGCAAATGATGTAAAAAAACACAGAGGTGTATAAATAATGCCTGAACACAAAAATTGGTCCTGAAAAAGGAGCTGCGAGGGTGGTTGGAGCAAGGAAAGACCATGGAAAAGATTGAGTAGAACATGATTAAGTGAACTGCCAGTAGGAGCAGAAAAGGGAACATTCCCAAACCCAACAAAGAGAGAGAGGGTCTAGCACATTGATAGGGAGTGAAGACCTGCTCCCACAAAAAAAAATGTACTTCAATTCAAGAGAGAAGCATCAATGAAGAAGAAGAATGGTTTGAGATGAGGTAAGAAAATACTGGAAGTAGAATGGGCATGGTCCAGTCACCATGACAATGCCCAGAGGAGAAGCTCACAAAAGAGGACCCCCTGGAAAGAAAACCCAAGGTCCGTAAGTCCACTGTAGGAGATACATGAGAGCATGCCCTAAATGAAGGAGGATTTCTAGAAAAGCCAGGGTCCCAAAAAAGGAAAAAAAAAACTACTCATGAAGGGAGAAAACATAAAGTGTAAAACTTGGTGATCAGATAAGACATAATTCTTTGGTAAAGAAGATAGGCTCAACTCAGTTGAGATGAGCGAGGCAGGAAATGTAAAAAAAGTACCCAAGAATGAGTGTGTGAAAGAGAGGATC